TGTGGAAAGTTCGATTTGGGGCCAAGATTTGAGTATTACCGATTTTGGACCAATTTTCATGACTCGTACCGATATCGAACGAACGGGCAGACATATTTGAAAACAGACAATTGATTTGAATTCTAGAATTTATCTACAATTTTTTGAAACCATTCTCCATTCGAAAAAAATATTTGATTCATGGAAAATTCGTTTTTTGACCAAGATTTGAGTATCCCCATTTTGGAGCGGTTTTTCGATAGCCTAAAAATTGTTCCTACATAAAAGAAGTAAATACACTACATTAAACTACATAAAATCTACAATTGAAATCGCCCTACCCGAAGACATTTCGGCAAATTTACCAAGATTTGAATATTCATCTACAAATTAGAGCCGCTTGCGATGGCAAATGGCGAATGAATCGCAACGATCATATCGTCACATTGGAACCAATAGATATACAGAATACATATGTATTGACTTTATCCCAGAGATATAACACTTCGAATCGTAGTTTCACTTCATTTTTAAATTGTTCTTCTTCAAATAATAAATGCACATTTCAAAGGTCATTCCTATAGTTTTAAATGAAAATTCCCATGAAAATGTTCAATTTTACGATTTTCTAACCACGCTATGGAAGGTGGTTCGAAACAAAGCATAAAAATAAAACGAAATAAAACGACAAGTTTTGATGTTGTTCCAATGCGACTGCTTCAAATTCACTCTTTTTTTTATTATTTTTGAAAGTTTTGTACAAAAAATTACAAATTTCCTTAATTCGTTCGATGTTTGCAGTTGAGCTCAATATAAATAAATCGTTTTTTCTCTTTCATAATGGATTAATTTATTACGAAATGTTGAATCAAAATATCGAATTTCGTTGAAAAGAAGAAAAAAAAAGGAAAAAGAAGGAAATGCGTTGGTTTCACAGAAAATGGTTTGGCTCCATTTTTACTCAAAATAATTTTGGCAAAGTTCTTAAATAAAGTAGATTTGAATGTGATTTTTAACTAAGCACAGATGAAAATGTGGCAATTTGGAAATTTTGGAAATTCAATGCATTGTCAGTTGTATGAATGTTATATGCTGGAAGCAATAAAAATCGGTTTACTTTTGTTCATCATCATCATCTTCTTTTCATCAATCAATTATTCTGTTAAAATTGTAAACATAAATTGTTTGTCTGTATATATATATCTAAAGCTTTTCATACGCCGTTGAAATCAATTCGTTTTGATCTATTTTATATATATATATATCTCTTAACGCTAATAATCAATATCGTACATGAACTTAGAAGCTAGATATCAGTAGCCCAATAAAATCGAACAACACACATCTCATGTATGGTCGAGCGATGACATTCCATTCTACACCACATTCTTTTGCATTTAGACAGAGTAATGAATAAAAAATATAGTCATAGAGTTAATGTTAATAAAATCGACTCGTACATCTTGAGCATGCTTTGTAAAAGGAATGAATGGAAAATATGTATATCGATGATTGTTTTGTGGGCTAAAAATGCAAAGCATTCCATCATCTACATCAATCGATGTTTTGGTTTTTGTGTGTGTGTTTCTATTTTTGGATGAACAATTTTCAAAAATTAATTAGTCTCCCTTGAACAAGCTACATTGGGTGTTGTTTCGGCGGTGGCAGCATTGTTGTTGGAACTTATTGGTGAGAAGAATAAATGCCTTAATACAGCTGCTTTTGACATATTTTTCAGTTGTGAATTCGAAGTATCCGATGTGCTGGCTTGGTTCGTTGGATCGGCAGTTTGATTAAGATTTAGCGATAGCTTACTCGGTTGCTGTGTTTTCACTGTACTCTCGTCGGTCACAGCATCTTTCGTGTTATCACTTTCCACTATCAATTGATCCGTTTCGGGTGGATTTGCTTTTGCAATGCCGGCATTTCGATTTTGTTGTGATAACCGGTTTCGTTTGTTGTATGACGTCACCCCTGCTGATTCGCCATCATCTCCACACAATTTAAACGACCGTTCACTGCTGACGCTTGTTTTGTCTGCGTTGTTGGCATCCTAAATATTTTTTTTGTTTTGAAAGTCATTACAAATCATCAGTTATTGAACTATTCGAAACGAAATATGTTTGTTTTCGTCTTCACATACCTTTTCAATGGCCTCATCCATTGAATAGTAAACAATGTTGTCGAAGCGAACGCGCTCTGAAGCACCATCTTCGCTTACATTCGATGATCCTATGTGCTGTGGAAAGGAAAGAAAATATGACAAATTGTTATTATTTTATTGATTCTATTGTTCTTCGATTTGATATTTCGTCTACTCGATGAGTCGAGAATAAAAAAAAAACGTTGATCCGGATATTCACCTGTTTGTACATTGAACCGGCCAGAGCCCTTGTTGATGCGTTGTCATTTTGTGTATTATTTGACTTTTCGCTGACACATGTGACTGCAGATGCAGTTTCGGAGGCGCTGACATCAGCTTGTACTTCCATTTTATTTCTAAAATTTTTTTTTACATAAATAAATATCATTACGACGTTGCTGTTGTTGTTGTTGTCGTTTTTTTTATTTTGTCGTTTTTACGTTTGTCATTTAAATGTTAATTTGCTAATAAATTCGTTGTTAATGACTCACCCAGTAATACTTCCTGATAGAGCTGTAGTTGACTCTCGATTTGCATTCGATTGTGCCAATGTAAATGCATTATTGTGCGATGAGGCGCCCAACTGACTTCCGCTTACTACACTTAAGCTAACTTCACCGATGCTCGTCGCACCGATGCGTGACACGGCATCAACACTGGCTGCATCATGATTCCGTGAACTGTTGTCCTCTTCGTCAAAATCAAATTTAAAACCATCACGTGTTGTTGACACCGCACAGCCGGCTCGGCACAGCGAAACTGGAACCACGCCATACACATAAAATAATAAGATCGGCACACCGATGGCCACCGCTAAGCCAGCCAAAACTGGTGATACAAGTATCTATGTGTGAGCCAAAAACAAAAACAAAATAATCAAATAAATGCGTGTCGTTAATGAAACCATTTAAAACAAAAACAGAAAATTAAGAACAACAAAAAATCAGGGTCATATAAAATATTCTCTCGTCAGCACCACGGAACAAGTATTGTAAAGGTCACGGGAGAAGAAATAAAACGAATGAACATCAGCATACATGCAGAGTGCAAAAGTTCTACGCTCAAGTGAATCATATAGATAATAGACGCCTCTGAATTGACAAATTTAACGATAACATGTTTTGTGTTGTCATTGGTTTGAAGTAGCCGAGCTTTAAAGCATCTCCCATCAAACTAGAATATGCTGAACGTCTCTGTGCGTTACCAATTTCCTCAATGCCAAACATGGAGAAATTGTTGTAACTGTTGTTATCTTAGTGTGGAGTCTCTCTTTCTCGCTGTGCGTGTGTGTGTGTGTGTGTGTGTGGTGTGTGATTGTTTCGTTCACAGCTGCATACGGAGCGAAAGCGCATAAGCACAAAACACACCCATACATATACATATACACACATGAGTACCCTTTTTTATCCTTCGTTCCTCATAGCCCGAAAATGAAATATAGTGAAAACACGCATTGATACGACCTGGATCGAAAAATACGTGTTGTACGTTGAAATGTGACAAGAGGACGCTTTGCGCGGCGTCAAATATAAGGGAAAAGCCTCACTTCCAGTTAACACTGTATACATGTGTTTTATTCATCGGATGGTGAAATGAGAGAAAAGGAAGAGCAGGCGAGCGAGCGAGAGAGAGAGAGAGCGCGAGAGAGAGAGAGAGAGAGAGAGAGAGAAAGGGAGGAAAAAAGGAAGCGACTCACCAAATTCTCGCTATTAGAAGGAAGTTCATTCGCATAGGACAGTCGGTGTGATAAAGAGGCATGGTATTTTAGTCTGCCGAATTGCTTCTGTCTATACTGTTATTTGTTTTATTACATTTTAAGAACCAGACATAAAAGTTACACATTCTATTTTTGCATAGGTAAAAAACGTCTTCTTTTGCATCCGTTTAATCTGAGATTTCATTTTTGAATGTGTCTGCGAATTTTGATAAGTACATAAAATCAATCGGTGAAGTTTGAACCTTTTGTGAATAAATTGTTTGAAGTGAACGGAATTTAAACTTTTTATTCGACTCAAAGTGCTCAAAACAAACAAAAACAATAATTGAATTTTAACACAAGTGATGCTCATAAACGCAGCCTCTTTGTAATGTATATAGATATACAGCTCATAACAAAGAATCACAACATAAATCAATAATGTAATCAGACGAACATCCAAAAATAAGCGGAGACTGAACAAAAAAAAATTGGCCACAATTTGATTGAGGCAAACGTTTTTCAATTATATCTTGTTAGTCCCTTTATGGCACTTGAATTGATTTTAACGCAATCGCGATCAGCATCTCATATATTGGAAATGGTTGGACGGCACAGAGGGAAGGGGAAAAAAATGTTCCGAAAATAGAAATGCGTCTTCTGTGGGCTAGCAAGCAAGCAAAGCTCATAAGAGGGAGAGAAAAAAAACACGTGCTCACACAAAGGCCAGACTCTCTCAATAAACGCATGCATAATATAGCAGGCATAGATAAAATTGATGTTGATGAATTAATGAATTGACGCCTTTTTGGCAGTGAAAGCTATCAAATTCATAATTTTTTTTTTCATGTCAATAGAGAAAATCAAAACAAACTCGCTTGTAGAATATATTCAACTAATTTGTTTCGGTCGTTGTTTGGTTTTTTCTTTCTCTATTCGCTTCATCCGTTGTGTGAATAGCATTCGATTACAATACGATGTCGGATTCAGAAGAGGATTCGAGCAATTCGGAAAATAATTGGCCGATGAATGAAGCCTGGATGTTGAATATCTTGAAGGATGACGATAAATCAGAGGCCAAAGTCAAAATCAATGTAATTCAATCCATTTCACTGCATTTTCTATAAGCCGATACATTTAGCTCGATAATTGGATTTTGAAAGGTTAACCGATTTGCTTGTGTCTCTCTATGTGTTCAGTATTTTAGTGCCAAATCGATATGTCAACACGGTGTGAGCAATTTGAGCGATTTAATTATGGCTTCCATCAAATATGAAATAGGTGACAATAGCAATGAAAAGCAATTAGACATCGTCATAAAACTCTTGCCACAAGATCCATTCGGTCGCTATTTTGTGACGATTAACCAATTCGACTTGAGAGAAATTCAATTCTATACGAAGGTTTGTATTACATTATCACGACACATTGCCGTTTTGTTGCTTTCGTACAATATGCTAATGTGTTTTCTTTGTCTGTTAATGGTTTTTGACACACGTTTTTTTTCTGTCTTTTTTTTCTCGCTCCGCTCCATTCGTTATTTTTTCTTTAGATATATTCCGATTTAATGAACTTTCAAAATGCGCATTTGAAAACCGGTTGCGAGCCGATAGCGATAGCGGTGCCAAAATGTTTTTATTCTAAGTATAAATCTGGTTTCTCCGATGCACCGGACGATAATGCGAGCCCAGAGCCACCCGAGAGTATACTAGTTCTACAAGATATGCGTCCCTTAGGATTTAAGGCAAGACGAACTTTATCTCATTTTTGACAAATTCGTTAGAAAAAAACAACGTTGATATTGATGTCGAATGTATCTTTTAAGCGTGCTATGTACTAATATGTGTGTACGTTTGTCGTGTCTCAATTTCTCGAACAGACTGTCAATTTATCGAATGGTTTGAGCTTGAACGAAGCGGAAGGTGCGATTACAGCTATAGCTGCTGTGCATTCACTAACACTGGGCATGAAGTTGAAAGAAAAAGTGGATCTGAATGAAAAATATCCTGTAAGCTACTATACATTATTAGTTCATTGAACATGATAAGATGGTATAAAATAATCAAGTTGGCCCAGTTTTAATCTATTATTAATAGAATTGCAATATTGTGTGTGTTTGTTTAGTTTTTGTTTCAAATAGCAAAGGCAACATCGAGCTATCAGCAGCTAGTTGAACAGGGTTTTCCACAGTTGGTGAACTTTTTGAAGGGAGTCAATGGATTTACCAATGAGTTGGCAGCACTGGAGGTGATCAGACTAAAGACCAAGTCAATTATTGAGAAATTACTGCAGCCTATAGAACCAATGGGCTTGATAACGCACACCGATTTTTGGTGCAACAATTTGTTGCTAAAGGAAGAGAAATCGGAAACCGATGACGATAGCAATAAATCCATCGACTGTGTCATTTTGGACTGGCAAATGATTACCTACAGCCGGTAAGAGATTCTAGGCCGATTTCCCGAAATCATTACCATTAATTTAATGAGCTTGTTATAAGGTTTGTTTGTTTTTTCTTTCTTTCATTTTTCTTTTTTCTTTTTTGTACGTGTATCCAATGTGTAGGCCAACAAATGATCTCGCCTTATTGATTTTGTCATCTTTGCCATCAAAACTGCGACGCGACAACACACAGAAGCTATTGAATCATTATTACACAATGATGAAGGAGAATCTCAACAAAATCAACATTGATATTGAAGTGACATTGAGCTACACGAAGGAAAAACTACTCGATGATTATAAGTGAGTTTGTTGTGCGATTAGCCAATGTCCCGTGTGTGCTTTGTGATTCATAATTCAAGTGATTTGCAATCGCTGATAATTCGATTTGTGCTTGTGCTTTTTCTTCACAACAACAGGAAATCACAACTTTTAGCTCTTTTACTGTGCATCGGTTCGGCTGATATTGCACTTGGGAATCAGCAAGCCGAACAACGTTTTCTCGATGTGCTCCGTGATCTCTACAAAGAAGGTGTTCTCAACATTGAAGAGCTATCTTTCTAAGGAGCCCACACACACACACACACACACACATCCATATTAGATCGCACTCATCAAACACCGAATACACACAAAAGAAAATATCACCGTTAGGGACATATTTTAACTTAGCACGTACTCTTTTTATTTATTTAAATACTGATAATTCATTCGAATACTCTCAATAATAGCAACAACTAATATTTAATTTAAACAAAAAAAAAAATACATCAAGCAAAAAAGAAGATCAATCCATCAATCCGAAGATAGCAATTGATGACAACGCTTTAATAAACTCAATATTGATTATAATCAGTATCAATTCGCTTAGAAACATGTGTGCATTGACACTAGATTCGAATGCATGACGATTAAATCCTAACCAGAAGAAAAGATGTTTAGAATTGATATGTTAAAAGTATGGCATGAAATAAACTACATGAAAAAATGAATTCTGATGTTTTTTTTCTTTATTTCGTTCGAGACGAGATTCGAATCGATTGCCAGGCAAAAATATAGAAACACGATTTCTCCGGAATCCCTTTCGAGTGCATGCTGAGCAATGTTTCAACGAATGATAATGACGAAAGATTTCGTAACGAGAATCATATGAAAAACAAAATGAAATACTCACCGAAGCTGCGACACCGCCAAGCATTGCGAAATTCCGTTTGTGTTTGCCCGACAGACGATATCTTGTGTGCAATTTCCGCCCAATCCAAACGGGTATACCTGTAAATTGAATGGAAAGCAATAGACGTAAGATCACGTGTCGTCGACATGTCACATGAAAAAGTAAAAACGAAAAAAAAAAAATTCGCCCCTTGGCTTACCTATAATCATAGCCGGCACAGCGATTCCAGCAACTAAAGCAATTCCAACCGGTGCTCCAACCAATGTTCCCAGTTGCCATAGCAGTTTCTTTTTGCGTGACCACGGTTTCTTTCCCCAAAATGTGCATCCCGACGGACTAAAGTCAAACGAACACAAATCAATTAGTTTGGATTCGCTCAAATGTGTGGCGGCTGTTTGTATTTTCTTCGTTATAAAATCATTACCTTAAATAGTGTAGGTCGCTTATCTCTTTCATGCATAGCCAACAGAATTCGGAGCCGCAAACAGCGCACACCATGTGATTGCATGAACCGTCATCCATTTTAACGATCAGCACTTGACAGCGTGGGCATGGTTTGATGTCATCGGTACGATGCTGAGAGTCTTGACTGATACTTCCCGATGGTGCTCGCATCGGACTTTGCCTTGATGCACGTGCAGCATCGCACGTTTGATCCGGATGCCATTCAGCTTTACAATGGTAGCAAAAATTAACATCACAGCCAGGGCGTTCGCATTTAATACGTGGACACGACGCACATCCAGTGGCGATAACAGCGTAACTGCGGAAGCAAAAAAAAGAAGATGTATGAACAAAATGCGGCCAATGCAATGAATTTCAAATCGAATAGAGTCCAGTTATTACGGTTTCAAAATCGAATTTTGAATAGGTTACCTGCAATCGGGTGCTGGACACCATCTTGAATCTGGATCCGAGAGTAGAACACGCCGTACCATAAAATCTTCGTATTTTTTCATGATGGTTGGCGATGTGCGTAGCAGTGTTTCAATATCACTGGGATGCATCGCATCCGAGCATTGTGTGCATGCGATCTCTGTCCGTGATTCAAATATTTCGATCGTTAAATAACTCTCCAAACACGAACGGCATGCATAATGTTTGCAATTCAGCATCGTATAAAATCCTTGTGACGGCTCCGGGCTATAGCATAGGGGACACTCTTGACTGTTTCGATTGGTTCGATTGTTGTTGTTTGTGCTGTTGTTGCTGCTCGAATTACTGCCAGCACCGCCACTGCCGCCACCACATGACGATCCGCTTGAATTAATTCGTTGATTGTTTCCATTGTGTTGATGTGTCGACGACGACGACGATGTCGACGACGATGCGTGTGTTCTCTGATTTTGAGTCAGCGCGTCGGCATTACTCTGCAAAATAAAATGCGAAGCGCAATAAAAAAAAACAGTCGTAAGAGCGTCATCAATTTGTGTGCGAATGAATGAGTTTGTTATGTTGAACATAAATCCAAAAATAGCACGACTAATTTATTGAGCAGTCGTTTATGATTTGTTTCAATGTCAGTTATATCCTGATTGAACGAATATCTTCTCTAATTGTACCAATTTTTTTCGATGCTCATGTCATCAACACATAACACCCACATATCACACTGTGATCTACACATTGAATTAACAGGTATTCTTTATTCAAAAGGAATAGCGCCCGAATGAAACCAGGAAAATAGGTGCTAAATTAACATGCAACCAATGATATTGTTAACAAAAAACCGACAATATTGCAAACATATTACAACAAATTGGCATCGAAATTGGATGATTTTCGAAAAGTGAAGCCAGAAATTTCAAGAAAAAACCGGCAAAAGCGACCGATTTCGACGAAAAACCAATTGATCCACACAGCGTCGTCGTAGTTTGTGACGCAATACAATAGTCATTGAAAAGAATGAGATAATAAGTTTAATTTCGTCTCTATCTAATAATGACGGCTTGAATGTATCAAACACAGAATAAAAAATGATGTGTGATTTGTTTTCTTCTTCTTATTTTTATTCATTTTGTATTGTTTTACACATGAAAACGGAAGTGTTTCGAAATTATATCATCATGGTATCAACTATCAATTTCATGTGCTGATTGATATATATATATATACTTAATTCTGAGGAAATTTCGATACATTTTGTGTAATTTTGGGCGAAAATCTTGAGCAAACCACGTTCGATTCCACGCTCACAAACATTGCCGAAATTTTTACTTTTCAGAAATGGAATGAGCATTGCAAACTAGATAAATTGAGCCTTCAACAACACATCAATGGTTTTTATATTGTTTTGTTTTCGTCGGAATGGTGGAATTTTAAAACGCAATGCTTTTGTTTACGGGAAATTATTCGTTTGATTGAAATTCCCGATAATAATAAATTCTGATTACGTCTAGGGAATTTATGAATTACTACCCAAAGTGAATAAAGATATAGCAAGCAAATTACAGAAGGTGTTCCTAAAATTGTGCATAATAACATTGAAAATCGCAAACAAGGAACTTACTTTGCCTGATGACACATCACCACCGCTGACTCCACTGCCGCCGCTGCCACTGCTGCCATTGCTTAGGGCCGATCCGTGGCTGGTTTTTTCATGTTTGTTGCTATTAGCGCTATTTCCGATGCCATTCGCAACCACACCGCTATTTGGATTCGATGCACCACCGCGTTCCACATCACACATTCGCGTTGTGAATGGAGTGCGGCCGGTTCGTGTTTGCAGCAACAATCGTCTTAGCGAAAAATCCGGAAAAATGAAACCATTTCGATTTGAATTGCCACTACTTGAATTATTACTGCTCATAATTTATGTGTGAAAACACGAAGGAAACTAAAAATTGTTGTTATCTTGCGGGCGCACACACGATTTTGCTTCTATCGTTTCTCGCCTTAACACTTTACACTTGTTGTACGGTTGTTGTTGTTGTTGTTTTTTTTTTCACTCGATCTCGCGCTGTATTTGTATATGTGTGTATTAATAATATTATATTTTTATTTTTTATTTTTTTTTTCTCTCTCTCTTTTGATATTGTTATTGTGTGCCGACTTTGATTATCGTTTCAATTTCACTTTGCAGCTAAATTATTTCGTTATTTCTATATTATGTGTTATCGTTTTTTTTCTATCTTTCTCTTCTCTAAATCGACGCGTCGTTTCCTTTTCTCGCGTTGTTGTGAGTGTAATTACTCTATCGTGTGCACATTCAAATATTGAAAATATTATGAACAATCTTTTTTCTTTTTAATAAATTCTAATTAAAATGTGCTCGGTAATGTATGTTGTTATAAATAATGTTGTTGTTCCTATTGTGTATGCTGTTGTTTTCTCGTTCAGTTTCGAATAAACCGTAAAATACACAAAAACTTAACGTAAAATGGGATAGCAAGAGAAATGAGTTTATAAACAATTGATGGTGTTTGGTGGATTACGTACGGCCGGCTGTATGTGCGAATAGGCTTCTGTTGATTCAGTCTGGAACAACGAAAAAGAAAACGCAGCACACAACATTAATATGATATCAGAATGAAACAGAAAAAATGATTAATACGTATCTCGCGTAACGCGAATGGCAAGAGCAACGAAATAACATAGAACGAGAAAAAAATTACTTGATGAAATCTAGCTCAATGCTTGCGAAGAATTTGTATACACACCGACGCACAGAGAGCTAGAGAGAGAGAGAGAGAGAGAGAGAGAGAGAGAGAGAGAGAGAAAAGTCCTGATCGAATCGACTGCTTTTGTTTTCTGTGCGAGAAACACAAAACCCACATTCGGTGGCATCAATCGGGCATTATTTTTCTTCTTGCTTGTCATTCTTCTTTCTCTCCAAAACGTTCTACGGCCAAAGGTTGTATAAATTTTGTAAGTGTGTGCTCATTTATAGGACAATGTGATGCGGAACGGAATGGAACGGCGCACTACACTCCATACATATAAAAAACACTGTGCTCCATAATTGAATTTGATGCATATTCTCATAGAATGACGTATTTATTACGGGTCAAATCAAAATATCAAAAAGAGGCAACATATTCAAATTGATGATGACAACAACAGCAGCAGCACAACATCAATGATATTATGGCTTGCTATTGATTCACTTGTGCGAGACATTACCAACAAACGAACGAACAAGCAAACAAACAGACGAAAAACAAAGAGTGAGAGAAAAAACAATTGGCGCGCGCGAATGATATTGGTATTGTCACCGCAATGGGGCAAGTGTTTGGCGCGAGCGTATACGCTCATTTATCTTGTGAACTGATTATGATCGTTGTCAGCCTTTGGTTTAAACTGCTTTTGATCGTGTTTGGTATGAAAATAACTAAATTGACTATCTATGTGGATTGCCATTAATGTACGATCAAAAATTCACAGCCGCATTTTTTTTGCCTAAAGGAAACAAACCGCAAATGGGCAAGATATTATGGCATTGTGGTAGTTCGGTCATAACCAAAACGAATAGAAACAAAAAAAAACACAAAACACTTATACACTATATCCCACCGCAGTAGTGTACCATTCATTTGCTATTTCATTTCAAGTCGGAAGCTCAGAATAAGTAATATACTATTGATTTAATTTTTTTTTTCCGCAAGCGCCAAAAATTGGAATATTTAATCGCAGCGACAGTCTTTCATTGTGCGACTCTTTTTAATGAATTGTTGCTGCTATTTTTTGATGTAATGTTAGATTAATGTGTGACGATGGTTGTTGTGAGCGGCGAGTTGAGCTATCGTATGCGGTTCAAGTGAGTTTATTTATTTAGAACGTTTAAACAAACGAGCAAATAGCGTATGATTAATATGATGATGATGAAGAAGAAGCAGGAATGAAATGCGACGGAATCGATGACGACAAAACTGGCAAATCAGCAATAAAATTGTCAATGAATGCGAAATGAATGATACAAACGGAAAAATAATAAGAAGAAAAAAACACACATTGACGTTGTTTGCACACAGGCACATGGAGAGAACGGGTTATTAAGGACCACTTTAGAGTGTGCCTTTTGAAAATTATAAGTTAAAGGCAACGAGATGATATTTTGTTTTTCAATCAATCCAACACAACAAATGGTTCATTTCTATTTAAATAGAGCATCAATTTGATCAGATAAGTCAAGAAAAATCCCACTCACAAATTGCGCACAATGTTGTTATGAAACCAATTTCAATATTTGGTTTGGTTTTAGTTTATGTATGTTTTTTTTTCTTTCTTTCTATTTAATATTTCTCGATATGTGAATAACCCGCACTGAACGCTGAACACGGAGGTTAATTTAAATATCTGTAAGGCGCATACAATTGAAGCTTTAATGGTGCGTGACTACGATCGCGTGCATCATTCAAAGAAATTTGTGTGTGATTCTTGAAACAAATAAACAACAACACCAACGAATGAAAGAAAAAAAAAACACCCATCATTGTTTATTATATTTGTCAGCGAATTTGAGTGAAGAATTTTCAATAAAAAAAACGAGTCAGTTGAACTTTGATTCAATGGAATGTAATGTTGATTCATGAACATGAAAGGTGTGGATTGCATGATATGTGGGGGCCAAAATAGATTGGTCGTTTGATATTTGGTATCGATAGAGTTGTGGCCGAAAATCAAATAAATCAAATAGATCATTTTATATCCATTTGATCGATTGCCAATGCGCATTGATCATATGACCATTATCAATGATTTTGCTAACGAACCGAAATGACTAGTCCATTGACTAAAACCATCAACAACAAAGACAATGTAAATAATGAAATCGAAACCGAATTAACTCTCTTTGTTGCACAGCGAAGATATTGGCTTATAAGCTCGGGCAGGCAATGGCAAAACTTCATAAGCACACTAGTCCAGGGGCCTGAAGCGATAATTCAATACGCATACGTATCCGACGATAAAGTGAAAGTAAACGTGGTCCGTCAACGTGTTTCTTCATCAAGTGCTTGGCTGTTAGTTTTTTTTCTTGTTCGTTCACTCGTTCGTTCGTTCGTCCGCTCATAAATATTGGCCACTGATCATGTATTTTATATAAACATACACCGACATAAAATTGACCATATTCGTTCAGTTTAAACGATACACGCTCTTTTTTCCGCAGAAAAAGAAACAACCTATATTGACAACTCATTTTCCTGCTATTAAATGCCCATAAACGGCATGGTTGAAACCTCATTCTCTTCTTCATTTATCTGCCTGCCTACCGTATGACCATTGATCGGCTACCTAGGCCAATGTGCAAAATGCCGTACTCTTATCTTGAATTAAATCGGATTTGTGACACAGCAAAATCAGAGTTGCCCATTTTTTTTTCGTCCGATATCTATATCTAATCTAGCACACCCCGGATGAAATTATCTAATTCGATTTACAAGTTTTCGCATTTCTTTGGCGCATTTCTTTAGCACACTTCATGTGTTTATTCAATTATTTTTTTTTTTTGCATAAATTCGTCTATACATCCAGTCATCCTCTTACTTTTACAAACGACACAATTATGATGGACGATCGCACGAGCGTGCGCAAAAAAATGATTGTTCATTGATTAGAAGAAGAGGAAACATGTTGAAAAAAGCGTATTTTTGGATTAAAAAATGAAGAAGAAACTTGTAAAAAAAAAAAATCGTATTCCGATAAAAAAAATCCGTTTCACTCTCTCTTTTTTGTGTGTTATGTTTTGCTTTCTGCTTTCAAGTCTTTCGTTGGTTTTTGATGAGACTCTATTAATTTTCGATTCGCTTTTGTGTCCAAAAAGAAAAGAAAATAACAACACACCAGCCAATTCGGTATGAATGGACGCTTAATTACTCTGGGCCCGACACAACTCATTCATGTGGTGCGAATTGCCAAATCTCAACGTAATTGAGGCTCTTAATTGGTTAATTGTGCAATCATTGTGTGCTGTGTTTTTCTTAGCTTCTTGTTGTTCAATGTGTGTCTGTGTGTCGGTGTGTTTGGCAACGCATAGAAACAATTCTCACGAGAACAGATAAAACAACATTCGTTTGTCTCGTTATTTTCTGCTGTTTTGTGTTTTTTTTCTTCTTTCTTTCAATTTTCTGTCGTCCGTAAAATGTTCATTCGCATTTGAAATGCAAACTGATTATAAAAAAAATTTATTCGTCATATATCCATGCGAACTGGTATTGAAACTGGATCCATTCCATTTGTCCGAGAAGCATTTACACGTTAGCAAATTGTTATTATTACTGTGTGATTGTTGGACATTGAGTATATGCCAACAATGTGATTATTTGTAAATTCTTCGGTTTGCATTTCCCTTCTATTGTGGGGTCGCAACCATGATACTATTTGATAATGCACAAGCACACACACACACACTGAGACACGGCCACCACACGCCACTTGATTGAATACACATATTTATAGTGTCGTTAGGCATCACACACCGCACAGATATTTATCACTCCGTTCTTAATAGGCACAGATAAAAAAAAACAGCCGTCATTCAAATATCAATTATTGCTAATGCACACCTAAACATTTTGTCATTTTGTTCTGTCCCTCAAATATTGCGCTCTCATAATTGCTGTTCGGTCGAAATGCATTAACAATTTCAATTCTATCTCCGCCTCCTCCACCCTGGCATGACATTTGTTTCGCATTTAGTTTTGTATTTGTGATTTCATATTTCATTTTGTTGCTGTTGTTGTTGTTGCTTTTTTCATGTGTAACTTGATGTTGTAAGATTTTAAAACATTTGAAAAATTTCACGCAATGAATTTCCAGAACGGGCTCGACACGAGTATGTGTTTGTATGTACATTGTACACATGATGTGTGCACATCACAGCCGATATGAATCATTCGCAGCATTCCAACACCCGTAACGTATCAATTTGTTGTTTTTTTTCCTCTTCTCTTTCATCTGATGAATTTAGTCGAGGTTTTGGGTGCTAATAATTTTTCAATTATGAATTTCTGTTGAGTCGTTAAATTTCATTCAGTTGATCTGCCTGGACCTCGGTTTTATATATATCACTGAACACGCACTCACTCACAATGTTATCGTTTATAAAAAAAAAACTCTCTGTGTGAATACAATTGGAACGATGGGGAATTTGGCCGAGAGAAAGAACAAACTAAAGGCCATTTTGATATGTTTTCATTTTTGCAATCGCTAGATTTTGCCAATAAAGTCGATAAATTAACAAGAAAACATCTCGTTTCACTGGGAACGTACTTAACACTACACATACAATAATTTCCGTCAATAATATTCAATTGTTGTTTTGCTCTTTCTCTCGCTGTGTGTTATTTTGCTTCTGTTCGTTCGGTACTTTTTTTCGATATGTTTAGTGTATTGAGATTTTCAAATGAATTACGGTCGCTCCGTCACAAGTTCGGCTTTGTATTTGGTACTAATTTCATCTTTACCTTCTCGGGCTTGCCATTCATTTAGCAAACAAGTTTCATTTTAGTTGAAAATGATTATTATTGAATTACCTATTTTTAGCCGTCGATCGAATGACAGTGATAAAAATATTATGATTAATACCAATGAATGTGTCTCTTGCTTTCAACAGCAATACAAAGATCAAAAAATAAACCAAACACAATCGAAATTATTGAAAACGATTCCAAGTGAATCCACTCGTTTTGATCAATCCTTTGCATCTAATCACGCAATATGTTTTATTGCTTTTGAGTCGCCTTCTGCGTACATTATTATTACTTTTTTTTGTTCGACTTAAACTTACCATCTCGTGTCCCCGTATGATATGTGTGTGTGTTTTTTTTCGCTCTCTTTTTCACCGTGATTCGATGTCACTGTCGACACTGTTGCGTTTGTACAGCCAAAATATTTCGTGTTAATTTTAATTGGCTCACTGTCTCTTCACTTCGTTTCTATTTATTTTTTTTTCTGTATTTTTTCTTCTTGCTGTTTCTCCTTGTGTGTATTAAAAATGAATGTGTTGAATAGGAGAATGAAAAAAAAACACAAATTCAGACCGAGGAGACGAAAAACCGATGGACACAAATGGGAAATCACTATTTGAAACGTCTACACAATTGAGATTGACTCACAAATGTACAAATTGCAATCAAATAAATCTATTGCATTTTTGTACGTAGTCTTCTTTCGAATGCAAAATGTGAAACGTTTAATGTACGTCCCTTTACTTCTGTCTGTGTTTTTCTGCTCTCACTCACTGTCTCAATGTTATTTCTTTATTTTTCTTTATTTTTCTTCTTCTTCTTCTTCTTTTTCTTCTTTTTCTTCTCTTCATACGGTTTGCTTCTGTGTGTGGATGAAAATTATGAAACTGTGTGTACTGTTTGTAATGTATATTTCGCAGTCTGTCTTTCGTTTACCACGATAACCATACAGAAAGCAAACATTTATTATTATTGCTACTGCTGCTTGCTGGTGAATGTGACGGCGTTAGTGAATGTTCAAACAATGTCAACATATTGGTGAGAATTTCATTGTTGTGCTTGTGTCTGTGCGTCCATAGAAAAATGTCAAAAACGGAACGAGAAAAAAAATGAATTCATGTTGTCAGCATGTGTTGAGTATTTAGTACTATTCAACTTTACTCAAGTTGAAAACCATTGTACTTGATCGTTAAATACATAGAGGTTAGTATAAACTTTAGGAGCGCTACTCAAATTCCGTTGTCGTTTTGCTTTTGTCGCGACATCGCTTTTTCATTTTTTCATTTTCTTATTGTTTCTATTTTTATTTTTAATTTCACTCTAATTCAATCTTTTCTGGATAAAATTAATTTCAACTTGAATTATCAATATAATTGGGAATGTCATTTTTGAGTAGCAATTATACTATGTCAATGGTAATAACTGCCTAATCAACATTAATTAGTTGGTCCATTAGATGGAATATCGAATCACACGTATTGGAAGCACATCACATGCGAATTCATTATTAATCCGAACCAATCTTGCATCCAATGTTAGAATTTCATGCCCCTGTCGATTGATTGTAAAATAGTAATGAATCAACAAAGCTAAATTTTTATCCATTTCTGAATTTCTTTATCATTTCACCTTCTCCGAAATGGTCTGTCTATATGCGTGTGTTATAAAAGACCTAATATGGATTTGTAGAATTGGTCGACAAGAAATTCTCAAAGTATTCATTGAACGCAATCACCAAATCCTTTTTGATTGAATATCGATTGTATGTCTTGTTGTCACCTGTGCACTGTTTAATGACAACAACAGAAAATGGTTACAGATTTTCAATTATAACCTGGAAATATTCAGGAGTGTTTTGACCTCCTTAAAATAAAGGGTTGTGGAAAAAAAACTCGCTTCGTTTTTACCATCATTTTACATTTAGCACGCGTACTGCACATATCCAACCAGTGGTTTGGGAGACATCAATGAATTATTCAAGGATTTCCCCATTTCCATTTTCCCCAATAGTATTTTTACTTGTGCAGTTTGCACACCTTGGTGCAACACACTGAATAATTGGTACATAGCTCAATATAAAATCGATTCTGATTTTATAGGGAATTATATATTCAACAATAACTTTCTTGATTTCGCAACATGTATGAGACCATGACAAACTTTTGATACGCCACGCAGTCGAACATTAAATTTGACTCTAACCCTGCATGAAAAAAAGAACTTTTGATTAAAAAAGAAGACTAACACTATTACGCAGAAAAATAAACCATATAAAAATTTCAAATGACTTCAAGGAAATAGCACCGAGAGATTGATTGACTAATTAGATGGGTCCTCGTGTCAGAATATTTTATAGTGTTAATTCATCAAACTTGTATTTCTCTCACTCTCGTATTACGGTCACACCACTGTCGAGCTTCTGCAATGAATATTCTAGTCGTAAACGTGAACAATTAGAACTGTGCGATATGAGACTGACATTGAACTATTGAGTCAGGATTTCGCTCATTAGGCCAATCCATACAATACAACAAGAACAAATCACAATCGCAATGTGGGCCTTTCGATATATGAATTCAATGGCAGGAAAAAAAAGAGGACAACGACAAAACACTACCGGAACGCTTTGATTGTTACTGTATTTCATTGTATGATGACAACGTGTAATCTTTTTTTCCATAACATACAATTTCACCTATTCAAGAGAATGGCTTTTCGTTATCAGTCGCCCCAAAGCTTTCCAACCGTCGACACTTCTATCACTCCAAGTCAATACGCTCGATCTAACTGATTCTAACGGCATTTGCCAATCGACATTTTTCCAATTTTGTGCGGGGCAAATGTGACACAATTTGGCCAAAAGTAAACGGCAGGTGCAAACAATTGCAATTAATTTCAATCACAATTTCCGCCATCATAAATTAAAATTGCATTTCAGTGGCAGAGCTTGTGTAAAGATGTGCATTGTTTGGAAATAAAGATTGAAACAAAACAGTATTATTTAAACACGCCCGAATGAGCAACAGCTTTCAGTGTTACGTGTGAGCTTTCAGGTTAACCGACATACAGTTTGGCGGACGAAAAAAAGTGAAACGAAATTCAAGAAAAGTGTATCGCGTTCACCTGTTCAACAAAAATGAAATATCTTGTGATCATTCTTGCTGCTACTTCGATCATTTCAGCTGTACCAATACACAAAGCCGGCAATCTCCAAATTTCGAAGTAATTTTTTTTCGGTCAATTTCTTCTGATAAAACAGTGTTACACACTTAAATTTTAGTGTTTATATCGAATCAATAAGCATACAAAAATGAAGTGATGAAATCTAGGATGATATAACGAGAATGCATCCAATGTCTTTGGCTGCAATTTCGAAAATGCTCTTTAGAGCTTTCAAATTACTGTTACAAAGAAACGGACATTTTTTGGGCCACGTTCACGTGGAATTTCCCGTCCACAAAGTAGTGCATTCTATGTACCTGTTTACATATTGCGTGCAACACCTTTCACAAATGCTTTTCGTGTCATAGAAGGAATATTTAATTCTTTAACAACACATAGCCAAGCGTTTATGGGATAGCATACTTTTGGTTCTCGGTAATTGAGTCAAATGACTCATCATTACTTGAACAAACAAATTGAAGAAAAGCGTTAAATTGTTGGTTTTCAATGATTGCATTAGCTTTTTGGGAGATATAAACAGATATCTCTTCAAATGATGTCGGAACATTTTATTTTGCATTTCGCAACTTTTGTAGTTTGTGTAAAAGATGCATGAATATATTTGGCATCATCCAAAAAAAAGAAATAGTCCAGGCAGAGTGACACAAGTTTTTATAGAACTGAGACGAAAAAATCTATGTGAAAAAAAAGAAGCAAATATTATACATTTATACAGGTACAGTATACACAGTATAATATACAGTTGTGAGCAAAAGTTGCATTAATCAAAATAGAGTTGAAATAAGAAAAAACGCACAGTCCAAGTTCTTCCAATGTTCTACAACTATGCCGAAGACGTCTGATCTCTGATCTTTTCTCAGTAACAAGAAAAATGAAAAAAAAATCCCATTTCCTCTCAACTTTGATTAGTGCCACTTGTGCTCATAACTTGATTTGTTCTTTTTTCCCATCAAGATTTTTCAGCCTCAATTTTAATACGACGTATCATATGTTTTATTCTGAATTTGAAGGTATCAATTGCAGCCTTGATACTATTTGTGGGAATGAAACAACGCCATTGAATCATTCATATTTGATAATGTCCATGAAAACACATGTTGATCAAATATCAAAATCCTTGTAATGTGTGATTATTTCAAAGAATGTATGATTTTTTTCAACTGTGCGCAAGGATCCAACTCGGTTGAACCCCAACAATTAACTATGAAGATATTTTGAGTGTACAATTAATATCATTGAATGATAACGATAATCGTTCCATGATAAAGTAGAATCTTGGAAAAGTTAACTCACACACAAGATAATTGTCCAGAAAAGTTGGGCGAGTTTTGACATTATTGGTTCAAGAAAAGGAACATTCTGATCTCAAAATTATCAGAAATCAAATGCAACAGGGATGATAAACAAACGAGGATTTCCGAAAGTTAATTTTTCATAAAAGGTAATCAACTCTGGAACATTTCGATTTGCCTTTCCGAGATTCTACTGTATATCAATACATGTGGTCACATCAATATAATAAGTTAAAGTGCATTTATGCATGTGGTCAAATGGTGTTCAGATTAAAAAAAAAAAACAAAACCAAAAGAGGGGTTTAGGCTTACTAATGGAACCAGCTCATCAATATTTACTGTAAAAAATCACCTGTTCACCCAATTCGTATTACTAACAATGATTATTTTAATTTCATAGAAGTCAACGGCTAGTGTCATCAAATGTGGATTTTGATTTGGAGGAAAAGGAAATGATGACAACTGGCAAAACAACGACACATGCACCGAAAACCATTGTGACAACACAATTCCCAAATACCAATCAAGGAGGCACCTCAGGTTCATGGCTACCAAATAATAAAGTTTCAATAAATTTGGATTTTGAAACAAACAATATAGAACACACCGATTCAGTTACGACGTCTGTTCCCAAGACTACAATGTCCTTAAGCACAGCAAAAAGTTCTAAACCAGAAATTGATACAACCGTTGGTAGTACTCCGACGACCGCTCCAGCAACAATGAGTACCATGACAACTGGAGATCAGCCGGCCATTTCCGTCACTAATCCGCAAGAAGACAATCAAAAGACGACAACCGGCTCAAATATTGACAGTTCAAAACCAGGCGTAGAACCAAGCAGCGATGGTACCATAACCACGACAGTGTCATCGCCAACGAGTACCATGCCAACAACAGAACACATAACTACAGAGCCAACTGCACTGGAAAAAGCTGAATCGTCCGCCACAAGTACTGGAACAATGGACAATCATGAACCAAGCAGCGCTGGTACCATAACCACGACAGTGTCATCGCCAACGAGTACCATGCCAACAACAGAACACATAACTCCAGAGCCAACTGCACCGGAAGGAGCTGAATCGTCCGCCACAAGTACTGGAACAATGGACAATCATGAACCAAGCAGCGCTGGTACCATAACCACGACAGTGTCATCGCCAACGAGTACCATGCCAACAACAGAACACATAACTCCAGAGCCAACTGTACCGGAAAAAGCTGAATCGTCCGCCACAAGTACTGGAACAATGGACAATCATGAACCAAGCAGCGATGGTACCATAACCACGACAGAACACATAACTCCAGAGCCAACTGCACCGGAAAAAGCTGAATCGTTCGCCACAAGTACTGGAACAATGGACAATCATGAACCAAGCAGCGATGGTACCACAACCACGACAGTGTCATCGCCAACGAGTACCATGTCAACAACAGAACACATAACTCGGGAGCCAACTGCACCGGAAAAAGCTGATTCGCCCGCTACGAGTACTGCAACAATGGACAAACATGCCGAAACAACCTCACCTGTGTCAATTAATGTAGATCATTCTGATGCTGGTCATACAGATTCTGCTTCGATGCCCCCATCGATTGAAACGAATAACAAAGCAGATGGTGTGACGCAATCATCATCATCTGTCATTGCCGAGATTGGAACTCATTGCAATGCCACAGCTGAGGAGCCAGCGGACAAAAATGAACCCATTCCTATTGAAATTGATCGCAATGAAAACGATTTAGCACCAAAAGATGATGTAACAACAATAGCAAATGAAGCTGCCGTAGAAAATGAACCCAATAATCAGAAAGAGACATCGACACAGCCAAATGTTTTAGATCAAATTGCTGAATCCTGTGGTGAAACAAAGAAGAAATGTGAAACAACCACAAGTATACCTGTCGAAATACAAGAATCAAATGAAAATGTTGCCATCACAACAATAAAGCCAACAAACGAAGCGACTCAGATGTTCAATGTCATAAAAGAAGCCATTGAAGAAACAAGCAGCGTTCCATTGATTTCATCTACGATCGGTTCACTACCGAACACAGCTAGGGAAAAAGGAAACCAAGATGATGGATCAGTATCGCCCACGGACGAAACATCAACCGTCGACCCAGAAAATGATTCAAAAATGTTTCGAGGCTCAATTAGTGTTATTGTACCACTTCTTTTTATTATTTTGATATCTAATAGTTTAAATTAGTTATGAAATATCAAATATTAGCCGTTGTTTGATTTAAAATTTGTTGATTTTCAATTTTCTAGTCAAGTTTGATGCAAGATGTTGTGTTCATACCCAAAAGAAAAGAAACATCAAAAAATAAGCGCTAGCGTACACGTCATGAATTAGTTTATGATAATTGAAACCATTTTTTTTTCTTCGTAAATAGTCAAAGTTCGAAATTTGTTTTGACAGTGGGAGTGTTATAGAACGATGCATTCTAGTTGGAGCGGCACTGATATGAAATTTTTACTCAATATTACATCATGCATAAAGTAGGGAGAGTGTAATTGAGAGAGAGTGAATTGATAAACAACTATTAATGATTTCAGTTGGCACTTAATAACATGTGCATTTTATCAAAATTGTGTGCCATTCAGACACACAAAGTTACATTTATGTCCAATTATTTTTTGCCCGATTAATGTCTATAATTAGCAAAATGTTTTGAAAATAGCTTAAAATAGGTTATCAATTGATTTATTAAATTTAATTTAATTTATAAATAAAACTACATTTCAGTGACAAAAAATAACTCTGTCTCTTATAACATTGGTTACATCTGTCCATTGAGATCTAGACAGCTCCAGGGTGTCTTTATGCGATCATTGTTTACATTGTTCTAAGCCTAACTAATGAACTTATTTCTATGGAAAATTGAAGCACTGCGGCGCCAAAGTGTTGATAAATTTCTCTTTTGAGAATTTGATCGGTTCGATCAAGAATTCATAACGGGTCTGTATCAATGTGGCGGATTGCAAGAGAGGGAGAGGTACAAAATGCATTCCATCACTTGAATGAAACCGGTGCTGCGTTTATCGGCACACACACACACACACGCACAATCATTGCATCGTCGAAGCGTTGATGTTATAAGCGGCTGCTATAGAACTGTTTGAAGCCAAAGCATTTGTTGATGATATTGTATAGTTAGTCCTTGAAATTGTATCAGCACTAATAAGATTGATTGCGGAAAATATTGGTGACTTCATAGTACTACTTATGGTGCATCGTTGCATGTCATATTCAACAACTGAGATGATGCAAGCTGATGCAAAAATTGCAAACAGTAAAATCCATAATGATATCAAAATGCTACGCCGTAATAGTCTCCACCATGGATCGTCCAAATAAATGTACAGTTCTTCAAGTGTAAATCCTACGAACCTGGAAAATGGCAGAAAAAAATAAATAAACAAATTGAAATGAAATGAAAAATATGAACAGATAGAGAGATAGAATGAAAAGCGTAAAAACATATGAAAATAAACACCGATTTCAAGCCGTTCACACCACAATATCTACGTCAATTTGGAATAGATACACACAAACACCATTCGCTGTCGATTAAAAATGGAAAATTATGCGTAAACCATGAGCGTAAACAATGTCATTGTCTCGAAAGGCAAATTAATTGCCTGGAACAGGAACAACAACAACAAAAACACAAAATTATAATTATTATCTGTTTGCTAACAAATTGAAGCGAAACATGCGCGAATGGAAGAACCCACTTGTGTACTTTTCTACTGATAATACGCATTCAATAAATGTCTAGGTCAGTTATACGTGCTGTGCACATGTACATGTGAACACATTGTATTTCAAATATTCGAATTATATTGACAATTTTTATGTTTCATGGTACATAATTTGGTCGGTCCTGTTAATTTACATATTATTATTTCTTTTTTTCGTTTCATTCTGACACCATTTCATCTTTCGTTCTTCCAAATATTATTCATTATCATGGCGGGGAATGTGGCCTTGTATATATGGAAACGATTACTATGTTTGTGGAACCGGCAAATATAAATCAACAGTACAAAAAAAGGAACAAAAAAAGGAACAAAAAAATGGCCGTTGATTAAAAAGAAATATTTCGATGATGCAAAGATCTGTTGTGCTTTCAATTAACAACTAAAACTCCTTGTTTTCGCCCTACAATGTTTCAACGAACAAATCGCTTACAAGACAAATCTTTCATAAGTATGAAGCGGCAAACAAAATCTCAAATGAAACGCAATGATTTATTTTCGTTCGACTGATAGAATGGGTTTCTGCTCTTTTCAGTAATAAATTTGTTTTTTTTTCATCATTTCATCACTTACGTCAACTGATTGTTATGGTGGATATTGTTATATATTTTTTCTCTTTCACTCTGAATGGTAATAAAAAAAATCATTGTCCTAAAAGTTGCACTCGGTAATGAGCCAAATTTCGGAAATTATAACCGTTTCGATCGTCCTTGATATGGTTAAATCGTCCTTAGAATATACCATACTCAAAAATAAAATCAATAATTGCCGAAGCTTATTTCGTGTACACATGACTCGGTCCAGAGAATATGGGGCTATTACTATATGCTATATGCATTTAGCCAAACTTACTCATCGATATTGTCGCAACTATCGTTACTACCATACACTGCGGGCACCACAACAATACATTCCCTCAATTTTGGATCGACTGTTAGCGATGCATTCGATAAATAATCGAATGATTTTTTCAAAAGTCTCGACTGTTCCGTTGCCATTTCAAAGCTTTAAATTCACAAATTGAAATCGTATTCTATTATTTTGAAATGTGAATACAAAATTGATATCCGTTTTAAATTGTCGTTCAAATCGAATGCAACATTTCGTTTCTTGACAATTCACAAAGAAAGCAATTAAATGTGTTTGTCCGTTTTAAATTTGCGGCGAACCAATCAATAGCACAATTTTCAAATGACTGACTCGAAAACCGTTGAGTTTGTTTGACTTTGAGATTATATGATTGATTCGACTCAACCGTGTTAGTCGAGTATATGGGGTAATAAGAAGAAGAAAAAGAAGAAAAAAAAAAACAAATCAAATGTCCTGCTCGCCGCTACACGCTCCGCCCGGCACAAAATATATATATATATTATACGCTCTTTCAAATCAGTGTAATCCGCGAGACGAACATTTGTTTTGATTCAGTATTTTACATTGCAATTGTGCTACTTATCAGGGTGAATCGAAAGATTTTCGTGATAAAAACCAACAAATATTAACAATACATACAAAAATGATGAAATTTTCAGCGATATAATTTGGTTTTATTGCTTGTTATCATTTGCATCATTTCAGCAGCATTGCCTTATGTATTGTCGGTTTGTATAAAGTAGCTCAACGAACTCAAAACTGGCTAAAGTAACAATCAGTTAGTTCGATGAATTCTTTTTGATGTTCGAATGGATTTGATTCTAAGAAAATTTGCTCTCGCTTGTAATCGAACACTAATTATGTTTATGTCATGTCACAAAGGGAGAGAGAGAGATAGCGTTCGTTCATCGACATGAAGCCATGCATCCCAATGTTCGATTTTACTTTTTCTAAAGAAAGAAGCCATACCGATGTGCCACTCAAAATACACACACACACAGGGTGTCCATACCGTAGCTATACAATCAACATAAATGGATGTGGACATACGTTTAAAACATACTTACAATATTCCCTATGACTTCTTGTTGTTCACATTTCGACAAATGGATTAAATAACCATCACATAAAATTGCGTACGTACCTCACAAGTGGCTGGCAGTAAAAATGTTTGAAAAAAAAACGTGAATAAAGTGCACACGTCAGTCCAAGTTCTTCGACGCACGTCTCAAGCTTGTTGTGTATTTCTCCAGATGAAGTGACGACGATTTGGTTGGCTACAGTCAAACCGAAGGAATGTTGTCACCATGATCGGCACCAATCGGTCAGACTTTGTATCGGTGGCTTTACTGTACGTGCACGTATTTGAGTGAACAAATGCCTTCTTATATGATTGCATTACATACACGATATTTGATACATTGATGGTGAGGAAATGTTGTGTTTCATTTATGTCGAGCAATCTATCATTAGAATTCCGTCTAATAATTTTTGTAGGTGATTTTAGTTGAATGATAGCTTCGGTTTAGCGAACACCGACACTTCGAGCGAGCTTGAATATAGAAAAAGAAACGGTTGTTCTTTGGTTTTGAATTTTGTTTTAAGTGTACAAGCGCGCATCTCACTGGATCGATTACGGAAATGGTTGACGAAAGGACATCTCTATTCACCAATTCGAGAAGTGAAACATCATATGCGGTTCCAGGACGTTTTACACGCACCAAATCCGATCGCTTCAATCGATTGCAATTCTGCATTTGGACTTCATTTCTGTGAGACCATTTTGATTTTAATTTAGGAAATTACGTTGAATTTTTTCTTTTTTTTTTAATTTTCGTTTTAATTGACAGAGCCGCGTTCATTTTGGCGCTGGTCATTACGATAGCCGTTGTGGTAACGAGAAACAGTGAAGATGATACAAATGAAGAAAATATGCAAAATACAAATCCAGCTCAGGCTGTGAATTCTGCTGAATTTTTCACCTTGATGCAATCATTTCGTGGACCCATTCCCGGTAATTTATTTGTCACTATTCCACTCTATTCCATAAAGTATATTATAACGATAATTTTTTAATTAAATCAAAAATAAATTTGAATAGATGAACAGCCGATAAATTGGACACTACCCATACCGAGCGATGAGGAGATAAAACAAGCGCTAAACGACGGAATGATTGCACTTGGCAATCGTGAGCTGTTTGAAGAAAACCTACAAGTTGTACCAGTCAATACGCCATCGTTTAGACATCAACGAGCGGTTAGTACAACGGCTGATGCAAGGAAACTTACGAAACGTGGTTATATCGAAGATCATGCCACAAATTCCCTGGCCAAGCGGTACGTAGACGAATCTAATTAGGATATAAATGTGGCACAATATTCATGCGATATTGTGTTTGAATCCATACAGAAATGCATACGAAAAACCAAATGGACGTCATAGCATTGGCAAAGGGCCGGAAATCAAATTGGAAACGGCCAAAAGTGAGCGACAAAAATGTGATTTCAATGCAAAATATCGTGTGCCAAATGGAAGCTGCAACAATAAACGGTGTCCATTCGAATGTGGTGTAGCTTATACACCGTTTCGTAGGTATGGCCTGTTTTCCCTCTCAATTTAATTCCATTCGAAGACTACAATTTTCGCTTTTTTTGTTTTCTTCTTCTGATTTTCAGAGCTTTGAATCCAGACTACGCAGACGGAATATCCGCGCCCAGAGAAAGTCATACGGCGAATAAATTGCCATCGGCTAGAAATGTATCTCTATCTGTACACAGACCATCATATTCAATTGATCCGGAGTTTACCGTAATGGTGGCGGTGTTTGGACAATTTTTGGACCATGATTTGACTGCCACAGCTTTGAATCAAGGTCAAGACAATGAACCCATCGACTGTTGTGCTGAAACGGGTGATTTGCATCCAGAGTGTTTCCCAGTGGTATTGGGTCCAGGTGACCCAAATTTCGATTTATATAATATAACTTGTATGAATTTCGTGCGATCGGCGCCGGCACCAACCGATCGATTTGGTCCAAGACAACAGCTCAATCAAGCGAGTGCATATATTGACGGGTCGGTTGTGTATGGATTCACTGATGAAAAAGTCGAATCACTACGACAACGTAGGTTTAATTGGTTCAAGAAATCGAAAAATTGAAAATGAAATGTGTTAAAATTGGTTTTGATTCCACAGACAAAGGCGGTTTGCTACGAATGTATTATACATCGGACAATCGAACTTTATTGCCCGTATCAACTGATCCGCAGGATGGATGCAATGATGAAGAACAAAATGCTAAAGGTCAATACTGTTTTGAATCGGGCGATACACGAGCTAATGAGAATTTGCACTTGACTTCGATGCATCTCATTTGGGCACGTCATCACAACTATATTGCCAGCGAATTGGAAAAAAGAAATTCACATTGGAGTGATGAAAAATTGTTCCAAGAAGCAAAACGAATCGTTGCCGCCCAATTACAACATGTTACGTATAATGAATTTTTGCCGGTGGTCTTAGGTATTTGTGCGAACTCAAGTTGAAGTTTTAATGGGGGAGAACAATCCAACACAATTTCGACATCATTATTTGTTTTTCCATTTTCAGGGCAAAGCTACAGCGATAGAATTGGTTTGACGTCAGAGCCCGATTCGGAGAAAGATACTTATGATGAATCGATTGATGCTTCAATTGCAAATATCTTTGCTGCATGTGCTTTTCGCTTTGCACATACTTTGATACCCGTAAGTTAATTGAATTAAGAATTATTATTTTTTTTTTCGAAGTGAAGAACGAAAAGTAGCTTAAAAACATGGTCAATGGTTTTGTTTTGTTTTTCTATTTCGAATCATTCTCCACCCAAGGGAGTAATGAATACGTCTAGAGACTTGGATAATCCCAACACAATTGCCTTACACCAAATGCTCTTCAATCCGTATTCATTGTGGACAGCCGAAGGTTTGGATAACGCAATTGGAGCAGCGTCGGTGACGCCATTAGCGCGATCCGATCAATATTTTACAACTGAATTGACCGAAAAATTGTTTACCGACCCAAATGATGTTGTGCAACCAACTGCAAATCAACGAAACGTTTGCGGTTTGGATTTGGTGTCGTTGAACATTCAGAGAGGGCGAGATCATGGTCTGCCAGCATATCATGAATGGCGACGACATTGTAAACTACCATCCGTGGATACGTGGGAAGAAATGGCATTTGCTGTTGATATTGATTCACTGGAAACTATAAGACGAATTTTCGGGTAATTCAACATATTCTTTTTAATATTAAAACCGAATTGTGTGCGTTGAATCGAATTGTTGATGTTTTTGTTCCTCAATCTGACAAACAGAGATGCAGAAAATGTGGACGTTTACACTGGTGCACTGAGCGAACCGCCAATGGAAGGTGCAATCGTTGGACCACTGTTATCCTGTATAATAACCGATCAATTTCTACGCTTGAAAAGAGGCGACTCTCACTGGTACGAACGCAGAATTGGCCCACAGAGTTTTACACGAGGTAATCTGGCTGTGTGTTTGGCACGTTTGAAATTAAGTGAATTTTCATGCGGAATTTCCGATTTCAGAACAACAAGCACAAATTTATGGCACTACATTGGCAGCGATAATATGCCGAAACTCGGATGCAGTTAATACCGTCCAAAAGTGGGTAATGAAGCGAATCGAACGAGATAATCCGATAGTTTCGTGCTCCGAAATCGACACATTCTCATTGGACGCCTGGACGGAGGAGCCATATCGTAAAAGTTTCGTGTCTGTAGCAACAAACCCGATGCAAACCTTCATTAGAACGATGGCAAAGAATTAATCATAGGCGAATCAAGTGTTGATTCTTAGAAAAATAACACACACAATTCTTTTATACCAATTTTTCTAAACCTTTCCCTCAACTCGACTCGTATCACGCAATAATTGAAATTACGGAAAACATTTAGTTTTGGGCACATTCCGAATGTGAACGAGAAGAAAAACGGTAATTTATGACATACATTTGTGTGAGTTGTTGTTTGAGATTCAGCCGATGTTTTTTTTTACATTCCAAATAATAATTAGAGTGTTTTTGAATAACAGAGAAAAAAGTAAGAATCACGAAATAAATTACAATTCGATAAATAAAGTTTGTGTTACGGTTTTCTTAAAATGGGGCATTTCCCTTGCGTTTTCTTCCATGAGATTTGACACATTTTCTTGTTGTGGATGCGGATACAGCGGGCAGCTGCAACGTTGCGCTTCAAACACAAAAAGCGCCATCTGCACATATTTGACTATTCAATGTGAACTAGCTGTCATCAGTATCGTTGAGTCATCGATGCTCAATTTATTTTGGGTCGTAAACGGTACATTGAAAATTTCAAATGTGCCGTTTATGACCCAAAATTGAGCATCGATAACTCATCGATACTGATGACAGCTAGTTCACTTTGAATAGTCAAATATGTGCAGATGGCGCTGTAAAATCGTTCACCACTGACAAACGTCAAATTAGTATGGAAAGAAGTCAATGTTGCAGCCTCCCGGGATACAGACGGAAATATCTATCATTATATCTCAGTCATTGAGCATTTATTCTATTATCTTTCGCACTGTAAGGGATGACAATCAATAACAATGCAGTCTCTTTTTTTTAAATTCGAACACAAAAGAATGCTACGATTTTTTTTTATTCGATTTCGTTTGAAAATGATTTTTGTTTTGTTTTTGGTTTGTTGTAATTTTGAACAGGAATCGTGGTTCAAACAAAGAAAAAAAAGAAGAACTAAATTAAACTCAGAAAAGGTATGATAATTTAAATAGCCGGGGCTCTTTCTATCGAGTAACAATTTGCCAACAAAAGTGTTCAACTATCACATAAAAAACCGATAGATCATCGAAATGGTTTCGTTATCCATGTTGTATGTATGCGTATAATGCGTGTAATGTGTATTTGTGTGTGTTTTTTTGTTTTTGTTTTTTCTTAATCGTTTTATTCGTTGAATAAATTAATTTGCTTTTATATTTGAGTTCGTGTTTCTCTCTGTAATCTTCGTGGATGGTGTGAGCGATGAATTGGTGGCTGGCCCATTGCCGTTCGAATTTCTCCGCTGTGGCAACGGTGGTTGCGATTGCATCAATGCCATCGAATGATGTGAATTTACCGGTCGGTCCACTCGTGTTGAACGTTCGACGATTTTTCGGACATAGCTCAACTGCTTTGACCCTTGGTGACCGGATACATTCTCTAATCTGTATGGTGGTCGAATTGTGACATCGTTGAATACTACAATATTCGGTCCCATCCACGCGACCTGTGCAGCGACAAACGTCGAAATAGTACATCGTATTAAAATCAAGAAAAAAAAAACGAAAAAAATCTATTGAAATAAAAAAAAACCGAGTGTGGCAACTTACTTCATTGATCGTTTTCGAGATGGCCAAAAAGAGTTTTTGACCCTCAGGACTGACACCAGCCGACATTGCAGCAACCCATCGTTTCTTGTCCTCAACCGAATTCCGAACGCGTGTGTTCAACTAATCGATAGAAAATCGATAGGCTTTCATAGAATCGTTTGCAATGACTAAATATTTGACACAAATACACTATACTCACTCTTTGCAAATTCAGCGATGGTGGTGCCTGTGGTGCAGAATTAGTCTCATTTTTTACTTGTACATCGCTGCACAGACCCAAGTTTACTATGAACACATCATTTAATTGTTTGCCGCTTTTTGTGCATTCTGATGTTGGTTTTTTTTCGTTTCATTCAATTTTATGTTAAGGAAAATTTGTATTGACATACAAAATGTATGGAAATATGTTCATTACAGGAAAAAAAAAACGAAAGCAATAAAACTAAATCAAAATGAAATGTGTTTGAAAAGTTTTTGTTTTCGGTTTTTGTCTTTTGAAAAAGGATACTCAAAATTAGCATTTTGGTCATTTGATCGAATGCCAAAACTTCACCCTCGACGCTCTGCTTAAAACAAGTGGTGCACGAAACTGTGCTTCCGATGGAAAAACATTCACTTACACCAGCCATTTAACGGAATCCTCGCCTTGAAAACTCACCAGCAAAGAATAACAAACGACTCAACTAACTTATCTCACTCGAATCCACGCGATTCTTTTTACCCCAAAAAAGAATTTTTCAACAAAATTCTCTTTTGTTTTAAATCAATTAGATTCTGCGGACAGTTAGTCTTCTCTTGTCAAAATTACCTAAGTAAATGCATCCCTTGTTGAAAAAAAAAATTGCACGATTCATACACAAATGTCAAACACTTAAAGTGTGGACGAATCCAAAATGCCTATGTGTGTGTATGTCGCAGTAGATCATACGGACTCAACCGCATCAATACTTAATCACAATAGAAAAATGGACAATTCACCACCAAATACCCAATATAAATTGTCCATTCGAATTTTTATGATATTTCACAGGCGATTGCAATTTAAAAATAACTTCTTTTACACTTTTTATTCATTATCTGTTTGATGCAAAAAATACTTAACCATTTGAAGTACTTATGCTTTATGATGAAGTTCGTACACCATCTGATAATTGGTTAAGTACATTCCCCTGCTAATGCGACAGTGTTTTTGATTGTTGTCCAATATGATGAAACATTAACCGCGCCAAACTGTTTTATCAAACGATGGAAGTGTGAAGAATTCTGACAAACACATCGTATTTTCCATTGGAATTCTATTGATATCGAGTGACCGAATTGTTGTGTTGTGAGCTGCACGAAGGAAAAAAACGAAAATTGGTATTGTAATTGAAATTAGATTTGTTGCAATAAAATTCGAAGTGAACAATGGAGCACTCGTTTAAGAGTCGAACCAGTTTGCCGTTTCCAGCACCGGCACGCAAATCTTCGGCTAGTTCGATTTATTCCAGTCGTAAATCATTGCATGGTGGCATTAAAAAACCACTTGGAACACCCAGGTAAATTCAATTTCGGCCAATTATTTTCCATTTGCATTTGGATGTGTACTAAACATAACCTATCTTTCCAGCCGGTACAGTGTTTCGGGGCGATCCGTTCAGTCGAATCAGGTGATTGCAAGATCGGCAAACAATGTGGCTCAGTTATTTGGATTGCAGCTACCAATTACCGTCAATGAAGCGCTTATGTTCAGCGAAAGAAATGCCAATGTGACGATAAATTGTTCGCATAACGGTTGGGCATGGGCGATATGCGGTCGCAAGCTGCTCGTTTGGCAGTACAAAGATGCAAATCCAACGTCACCAAAGTCGGAATTACAAATGCGAACACCACAACGGCGGCCAGTGATCAGCCAGTGTCGTGAATTGACGTTACCCCATTGTGATATCGGCCATAAAGCATCGCTTATCACCGTTTTCACAACGGAAGGTCAACAGATGGCTTCGTGTTTATCGATCTCACCAACCGGCGATGTTCGATATTGGCCGTCCATTGCACATGATGCGATCTCAATCGATGAAACGGGTATATTGGAGGGACAGGAATTCGATGATCTCGTCACCATACCATCGGTAGGCTATGTTCTAGCTACGACAACATGCAATTTGGTATTGCTTGAGTTGCAACAGAACAACGGCCGCTACAGCATCACACATCGGCCAGTGCGGCCGCCAACCGGTTTCTTGGGTGGCATTGGCAAGAGATTTGCATCGATACTCATTGGTAGCAATTCACAAGATCGCGAAAATGTAAGCATTGATTGAATTTTTCCTCTATTCTGTAATTTAGAACTCATCGTTTTCTGCATGCATTTCAGAGATTCATCAAAATATGCGCGAAAATTTCGGAATCATCCGATTGGTATATATCAGTGCTATCGGATAAGTTTATACAGCGTTGGTGTGTCGAATTGAATTTTAATGAGACATTTCTGTTTGAAGATCAGCAAATTATCCAGAAAATCAAGCAGGCATTCCATCATCAAGCATGGCCATCGCGCGATATCAACGAAGTCGAAATGTTCACACTGGACATGCATCCAAACAAAGATGGGGAATTGATTTTACTTGTAGCCGCTATGAATCTGGCACACACCCCACAGATTCTATTCGCATTGGTCACTTTGATTGAGCAACAATCGTGTTTTGCTATCAAGGACTTTTGTCAAATGAAAACCAATGCATTTTACTCGGGCGACGCTAACGAGGAGAGTTTAAAGTACAAATTCATTTTGACTGATTCAACCGCATACGTTTATGGGGAGCACACCATCTTTGAAGTGCTTTTGAGTGGTAATTTATTGCATTTTTTTGTTATTTCAATTTTTCATTCCATTTAATTGTTGTTATTGTTCTGTTAAGGTGTCGTTCAACAAGGTGTTGATAATACTGAAAAAATCGAATTGCCCGCTCCGAATGACCGAATTTTGGCTGCTGCCGTTTATAGTCAAATACCAATATTTTTCTCGCGTCTCAATGGTTTCATCAGCATATCATCGTCCGATTTTGGTAATTTAGACTGCTTGAATAGCTCCGTGGTGTCGGATTTGTCTGATTTTCATATGACCAGTCAGACGATACACAATGAGACTGCGACCAATCTTACAATTTACGACGTTAACCCGGAAGATGTTTACAATCTGCACGACAGCATCAGCCAAATTAAGGCCGCATTCATTTATCACTTGAAGAAAAATACGTCAAAATGTTCGGGCATAATCAATCAACTCTTTGCAAATGCATCATCGTTTGCCAATGAATTTGATAATATCATCGTAAAAATTGCAAAAGATTTAGCTGAAGATATTCCAGCCGCTGATCCACGGTGGGAAGAGCAACTCTCAAACAAATGTTCATTGGGCAGCTCGACATCGTTACAAATTATTCAACAACTGAAAGAGAAAAGTCGCGCATTCACGCACTTCATCGATTTCCTTCAGACAACATCATTGTGGGAAAAGGTTCGAATTGAATTGAATTTTTAATACAATAAAAAAAATCACATTATTATGTTTCTTGTAAATTAGCTGGATACCGTCACCGAACGCAGCCAAATCAAAGCCACCTGGCATCTACTATCTGATATTAATGAGAAAATCGTTGCTGCAATCGCGCTGAAAGGCATTCACAACCAATATTCAGCCATAATCGATGAGGCCATTGATATCACACTGAAGAAACGAAATGAAATTCCACCTGAGAATTTGACGTCACAAGACATTTTCTATGTTCAAGTTACCCGCATTCATGAATTTTTCAAATCACTCACATCGCTCGCCGATGAAGTGATTCAACAAGAACAAAACCCAGCTAAGGCTTCCCAATTTTTGCTTGACATCAGCCAAATTATTTTGGTAAGAATTATTTATAATCTGTTGAATCGATAATAATGAGAAACTCGACGAATTCGATTGAAGATTAAAAACCACCCATCTCTATTTAGGCCATTCTGCATGAGGTATTCAAATTCCGTGAGGTCAAAGCGAGCATTTTCAAGTTGCCAGCCGATAAAGCAAATAAGTTTGAGTATTTGCCATGGACATCTGCAGCAATTCCAAATGGTATTCGCGACAGTATATTGCATATTATAAATATCATCACAAAGAATGGCGTTCGGTCGACGGCTGAGCCAGAATTGCGGCAGCAGCACTTCAAAAATCTCGTCGAACTGGTCGATTTTTACTTGGATGGGCGTAAAGCGTACTTGGAAAGCATCAAAGAGTTGGATAAATATGAAACCCTTTTCCGAAAATATGAAGCCGAGCGCAGTGACTTAATTTTTAATTTTGGTAAAAGAAAATATTCTTACACTAGGCTATAAGCATTCGACGACAGTTGAATTTAATATTGATTTTTTTTTTGCTCTTTCTCAACTTATAGTTGACGGCGGTCAATATGAGCTGGCAGCCAAATTAGCGGAAAAGTATTTAGATTTTAAGACGCTCGTCGTTGTTTGTGATCAGACAAAGAATCAGTCACGCTTAGAGGAGTACATTGAACGGTACAAAGATCAAGATTTTTCACAATTCGCCATCAATTGGCATCTACAGCAGAATAAACGTGGTGATTTGTTTGAACGCTTTAAGCGTAATCAAAACGAATTGACTCGATTCCTGGGCGATCATCCAAGTTTGGAATGGATTCAGACCGTTTTCAACGGTGATCTATCGCGAGCCTCACGCATATTACTGTCATTAGCACAAAATGAAACGGATTCTGTGTCCCGCAAAAAGACAATGCTCTCACTGGCTAAATTGACAAGTTTGGCTGCCGACGAAGAGCTGTCCAACGAAATTGAAGTCATTAATGATGAATTACGGCTGATCGACTATCAATCGAAAGTATCAACACGAATGCTCCTCATTTTCGGATATGATCCAGACAACCAAAAAGTTCTCAAACCCGAAGAAATTATTAATGTTCGTAGATTTTTTTTCTATTTTTTATGCTTCATTCAAACCGTTTGGTGTCTCTTTATTGCTCAATTCTATTTTTCCTCCAAACAGTTATTTATCGCTGACGAAAATACAGACGTTAACGAAGAAGACTACCAGAAAGCGCTTAGTTTGACACCGTATGTCGACGATCCATTGGATATAAGACACAAAATCTGGTGCAGCGCAATTTTGCGCGACAATTGGGATGCATACAATGTCAATGCACCGCTTGAAACTGTTCAGCACTTCATGATTTACAAATTGATCGATTTGTGTCTTATTTTATGTAGGTTTTAATCGAATTATTGATTTATTTTTTCTTCCTTATCTGTTTAAATAATTTTAATCTTCTTTTTTTCGCGCAAAATTTCAGACGTTGACTTGGAAGAATTTTTGCCGCCACTACAAGACCTTTTGGATGCACCAGAATTGGGACCGTTAATAGAAAGCAAATCGTTTCAATTTTTGTTAAAATTAATTTACGAATACTTTTATGACACATATAAAAAACCTGTTGCCTAAACTTAAGGACAAAATAATTTTCTTTTTGTATCAATAGAAATAAAAGCATGAGCAAAAATTTGCCGACATCGAATCACAATTCACACCGGTTTCCTTTTTAGCGCCAAAAAAAGAATTTAGTACCAATTATGATTGTTGTATCGAATGTTGTTGTTATTTTCTTGCAACAGATATAATTGATTTGTTTAAGATGTTAAATGTAAGGCGTGAGAAATGTTTGATCAACGGCAAAGATAATTTTTTTTTGTGAAAATAAATATGAATTACAACATGACCTACACATTTATTTCTTCTTCGAACCGGCCGAATTTCGGTAAAATTCTCAGGCAAAGTACACGCGTGTGATGCGACAAAGTATTTGTGGTACTTAATACGGCTTGAGTACTAAATATAAATTATACACACACACAGTGGCGGAGTTCGTTAATACCACACGATAACATACAAATCTCTAAAATAATTCAAATAAAAATGACAGCCATACATCTTGCGCTAAATTGTATTTGTGTGTGCTCACTCACTCACTCCGTCTTTTTGTTTCTTTAAAAAGAAAATACTACATATAAATTTGCTTCGGCACGAGAACAGTGTAAATTTAGTCATTTTGTTATAGTAAATAGTTTTTATCAAAAGTTTATATTTACATGCGATTCGACGTTTAACTACAAAAAAAAAATCAATCGATACAAAAAGAATAGAATCGGAATCGAAAAAAGGGGATAAGTGTGTTCGAGCCAGAAGAAAAGAGGAAAAATTATGTGCAGTTTTAGCCAACGTGATCGAATTGTGTGAAAGAAGAAAAAGTGTTTTTTTTTTCTTAAAGAGAGTCAACGAAAGGGAGACTTGAAGTGAGGCAAGCGAATAAAGTCTCTGCCCGAAAGGAAAAAAAAGAAGCGAGTGTTTCCCGTGTATTAATGTCGCATAGAATGTTATGGTGCGAACAATCATTAATCTACAATGTCTGAACCGAAACGTGTAACTTTTGAGACAATATCATCGGGTAGCTCCAAAAATTTGGCGGCCGATGCATCAGCGAAAAATGAGAAAACAATGCGAATCGAATTGAAACTATTTGAGCCAAATGCCAATAAATATCCATTGTTCAACTTTAAAACACTGTGTCAAGCGGAAAAGGTAAATTTTTTTTTCTTGTGCGAAATGAGAATGGTGAATTTTGATAGTGCACAATACCGTGAAAGTGAATGAAGTACAAATACGTTTGGTGACCTGTAAATGCTTGCAAAAGAGACAAATATTTTCCATCGCATTTTCGGTTTTACATTCTCCTCCTCGGCAACTTTATCATAAATGCTTTATTGTTCTTGAGAATGTTCGTTGTTTGTTACGTGCAATATATTTCGGCATAAATCCCGTCCAAGCGTGGTCTTTGTTGAATAAAGACGACATTGTGTTGAATACATTGTACTGTTTCTGTCTATCTCTCTTTCTCTCGTTCTCGCGTTTCATTCCAACTCCCGCTTTCACTGCGTGCATCAGCATCCACTGCAATCCGGACGAACGAATACGTTGCCTTTTTGTTTTGTATCTCAACTTTCGGTGTTAATAATACGCGTACGCGTCGCATTCGTGATTGTATCAATACATGTATATTTATACATACCTAACCTAGCTAAATGCTTTGCGAATGAACAAAAAACATTTACCTTTCTTCTCCTCCTGTGCATAAGCTCATTCGCAATGAATGCGTTTATTTACTTTCGGCGCTGCGATTCGGGCGGATTTTCTCTCTCTCTCTCTATGCATTCACTTTCAATGGTCAACCGCAATGAATAATTTGGTCAAGCATGTCGATGTTATGTTGTTTATGTTTTGAATTGATTTTTTTTTCTCGATTTATTCTTTTTCTGCACGCGTTCCATCCACCAGTTGAAGGAAAAACAAAAAGTTCCACTCCCAAATGGTTTTGCCGACCCACTGGAAGAGGTTGATCACGATGCCGAAAAATTAGCCCAAGAATTTGAACGAAAATATGGAAATGGTTATGATGAAAACAACGGATTCATCGATGATTCAGAAGCGGTAAATATTTTAGCTGATTCTTTTTCCCTATGAAAATAAAGTGATTTTGGTTTGATAAATAAGAAGATTTTTCTTTTAAATCATTTAAAAAAAAAACGCGACAATTGACTTTGAGTCATATCAATAATATGTGATGTTTGATTTATTTCTAGTTTGATGAAGTGATACCTGATGAAATGGATACGGATCGAGGTGGATTTTACATAAATTCGGGTCCGTTACAATTCAAGAAACTGAATTTCTCAAACAAAGCGTCAAAAGTAATATTCAGTGTTTTCGATTTCGCTCGTCTGTCCATATTTAACATTGTTCCGATTTTTCTTTCGTTTTTAGCGGGCATTGCCACTTAGCAGTGATGATGAGAGTGACAGTAGTGAAAATTCGGTTATGCTGGAAAATGGTAACGCGACCAAAAAGCCAAAAATCGTTGAAAAAGACCAAATCGTGTCGACGAATAAGGAAAAGAATAATGATTTGGCGAAAAAGGACAAACCGCCGATCAGTGTAAATGCTGGCGAAACGATCAAAGATCAATCCGCTGGAAATAAAGAGACCACGGTTATGAATATGCTACGACAAAAACGAGATGCAAGTATTCGAGAAGGAAAGATATCTAGTCATAGTAACAAAGGATCAAAGTCAACGAGCTCAGCCACATCAGACGATTCGTCGAGCAGTGAGTCCGATTCAAGTGAATCAAGCTCCGATGCCGATCCAAGCCGTCACAGTGATGAGGATGACTTTGAAAGTGTTAAAAATAACGGCGCCGAAAATAAAGCAATAGACAATGCACCCGTACCCGTATCCGTACCCGCACCCGCACCAAGTGTTATTTCGAATAAAATTCAGATCAACGGCACATCTACAACATCATCAACGTCAACCAATAACATTCCGCAAGAGCCTGATATCACATTTTTCGAGCATTTGAGCACCAATGAACGTGATTCAATCAGAAGACTCATTGACTATTCAAAGAATCTGAAAGAGAATTTTATCCAACCCGAAACGCTGGATTTGCTTTATGAGTACGTTTCCATTGAACCGATAGATAATTTTCAATTTGAATAAATGCTAATGTGTTTTGGTGTCGCTATTTTTTATAGGATCATTAAAGCGCATCAAAGTGACTCGAAGATACATAATCAAATTTTCACCTACTTGGAACATTTGACGCCATGCACAAAGCAACAAATGATGAACGAAGTAAAAGACTATGCCATTAAGAAGAGTGAAATGGATGTGCGAACACAGGAACGAATTTTACAAAAGGAAATCAATCAAATCATGCCCGCTGTCAAAGAGAGATTCGATCAAGAAATGAAGAGAGTGGAAGAACAACGTGCCGCTCATCAAGGATCCGAAAAACCCGAACACACATTCAGAAATCCACGCCGAAAATTCCACTGGAATGATAGTTTGAAGTAAATTTTTCTTTTTTGTTTCGATCCCATATTTATCTAAGTGCGTTATTTTAATTGGAATGATTTGCTATTGTTATCTATTCAAACAGATTGAGTGTGAATAAACTGATCACAAAGTGGCAATCGTTATATGCACAGAAGCAAATACGAGATCAAACGCTTGAACAGTATACAACGTCGTATATTACGGATAAGCTAGTACCAATGTGGCCTGATGGTTGGATGAAATTAAATGATATTCAATCTCATTGCATGCCGAAGCCAAAGGTGAAGGAATCCAAGAAGCCTGCAAACGAAGTGAAAACATCGAAACCGTTACAGCCAACAGCAGCTAGTGCACAACCATCGTTGCCTATTTCGGACAATATGATTGTACACACGACGGAAAAGAAAAAGTCACACAAAGATCCAACAAAACTCATCAAAAATGCCAACGAAAAGCCAACTATACCTAAGACTGATAAGAAACATCCACAACATGCGCTCAGCGCATCGGATCGATCGATTATATCACCCCTACTGCCAATGCACATAAGTGATGCATTCATTACGAAATCAGTATGAAAACATTCGACTTAAATCGGTTTCGAATTGAATTTAAATGTTTATAAACAATAATCTCTTTTCAATTTAGGCGGTCACTAAACCATCATTAGACACGCTGCTGTCGAGTTCAAGTGCATCGATAAGTACAAAACCGAAGTCAATTTCCAGCAGCAATGGAAATGCAACTAATTACGTTCGGCAATCGGATACGAATTTGTCGCTCGAATATGTGTCACCGACGAAGAAAGCATCCGATCACAGCATTCAGCAGCTGATGTCATCATCGACATCCAATCATTCCGCTTATGTCTCAACGATCAAGCATCAATCACAATTATTGGGCCACTCGTCCTATGCGGAAAATCCCACGACATCAGCGCATTCAGTATCGAACAAGAGTACACAGGGTTCCAGTTCAAAGTCGAAATTCGACGGTCCACATCGACCACAATCCACCGCAAATGGCTCAAACAACAATAGTTTCCTTCATAATAACAATAATAACAAGGCGATTGGCGTTCAGCGTCCGCTGCCAGTGGACACCATAGATTTGTGTGATACAGATGAGGGCGAACCGATGGCGAAAAAGTCCAAACCGCACAAGCCCAAGAAAGACCACAACAAAAAGAGCAAAGAAGGTGAACAACGAAACAGCGTACCTCTGCCGAATACCGTTCAAATGCTCAACCAATTGCATCAGCCGACGGCATCGTTAGGCGCAAACGCTTCGATCAGCGATGAAGTCGACCACAATCAAATTATACACGATCTGAAGGTAAATAGCTCGTTTTTGCGCAAATATTTTGATCTACAGCTTTAAAAATGAAAACGAATACATCCGAATACCACAAACAAGAGCTCGTATCAATTCCTCTGTCTCGATCACCAAGACACATGAGGAAATTTAAGCAAAACAAAGCGTTTGATCGGCAATCCCTTGATTTTTTCTTTTGGCATTTAATTTTTGGTTTTTGATTTGAAAACAAAAACAATACTACCCACCACAATTTTTGAACATTTGTCCACACCCCTTTTTATTAATTAAATACAATATCTTTTTTTTGTGTTCTTTCTTTTTGGTTCTCCAAAGGAATTATCAGCTTCAAATAGCTCTCGTAAAAGTTATGATTCAATTTTAGAAAATCAGTCCGAATTTAAGCAACATTACAACCACTATAGAGTTTCGTCTCCACCGTACGATCGAAAACAAGATCATTTTTTCTGAAATACGGTAAAAATCCATTCTTGTAAGCACCTTTCATTTCATTTAAGTTGTTTGTTTTTTTAGTTGTTTTTTTTCCATCATCCCTTTTTGGTTGATTTTAATGTGCTTTTTGCGGTTGATATAGATTTTTTTACGTTAATTTTTCTTCTAAGCATTTTAGTTTCATATAAAATTGATATCTCTTTCATTTTCCTCTCAAAATTGGGCGAAAAATTAAGTCTCTTTTATGGTGATTGCTTTTTGAGCCTCCCCCAATTTTCGGATTTAATGTTAGGTCTAACAATGAAATCTTTGCACATATTTGCATTCAATCAGTTGCAACCCAGAATCATCTTCAGAGAAAACAAAATTGTAGATACTTCTTGTATAAATATAATATGGGCAACCCAACCGGAATTCTCACTGTACAAACAAAAACACATTAACATGATTTAAGGCAACAAAAACATTGCACGTAGAATAAATAATCAATCCCAATTAATACACATGGGTTTTCCTTAGCGGTAAAATTTTAAAGAGAGAAAAAAATTAATTGAAATGACAAAAAAAAACCAACAGCAACAACCAACCAATAGAACGGAAATATGGTACATATAACACTGCAATTAGACACAAATAGAGAAGGAAACAGATGATTTAATTGGTTCTCTACTTGAGCATAATTCTCAACATTTGAAACCCAACCGCAACATAACATTGATGTGATTTAGATGGTCGAATTCAATGTGCTCAAGGAATTTCTCATAAAATTACTAATTGACTCATATTGGTTAGGTGGCAATCGGTGCAGTCAGTAGAGCGTAAAATTGATTCAAACACAGTGTTGACATTTTTGTGTGTGTGAGTGTGTGTGTGTGTTATTGACACATTAAGACTAACAAAATTGTTGCATCTTTGCACATTTCAAAGACGTTGGGGCATTCACTGGGCAAATGAAAAACCATTGAAAATAGCATAAAATCAATTGAGAGAAAAAAAACAATTTAAAGTGCATGCAACGCGCATAAAATTTGAAATTGATGTCAACACATTTTGAAAACTGGTGTGTTATTCGATTTAGATCAATTGGTCTTTCGATGCATTTTTAACGCAGCACTACGGCACAGTTCCATACACACAAAACACGCTTTGAATTCTGTACCATTTTATTTCTTGTTTGAATGATTGACATTGATTTTTTGTTTTAACTCATGTACAAAAACCAATTAGACCACAACAATTTTTTCTCATTAATATTTTTGGTTTATTTCGTTTGGTTAAATTTTTATTTTTGCTGAAAATGATTGGAATTTGGTTTGAAAATTATGATGTGTACTTATTTTGGATTTTTCTTTTTCGCAGAAGTAAACGGGTTTGATTTGGTTCGCTTTAGAAACTGGCTCGCGTTAATTGGCTTGAACAAAGAGAGAGAGAGAGTGAGAAAAAGAAATTGAGAGGAGACTGAGGAAGCAAAAGATAGTGAAAGAAAAAAAACAGTAGCAAAAAAAAAATTCCATCAGGCTCTTGTACAAATTACAGATGAAAAAAAAAACAAATGTCGTTTCTAAATGGCGAAGCGAAAAGAATTTTTTTTCCAAGAAAATCGTTAAAGTGCTGTTTAGGAACACACTGAGAACGAAAAGAGCAAAGACATTGCGAAAGCTGCAACATCTAATGTAAAAATACGCTTTTTCAACCACAACAAAACAAAATCTCCACAATCACAGAAGAAAACAAAAATCATCAGAACAGAATTTACTATTGAGTTATTTTGATATATATTTGTCTTACTTACGTTACATGAACAGTCCTTAACATTTACTCTGTACTCAAAAAATGCTCTACGTTAGTATAATTTTCTTTGTTTTGTAATCATCGTCATTCACTTAATGCTAAGAAATTATGGAAATTTTATATATATATATTTTTGTTTGTTCTAGAGTAAATGAAACGTTAGAAGAAGCAGAGCTAAAAAAATTGATGATTTTGTTCTCTTGAGAAAATGTTAAGCGAATGGAAGAAAGAAAGTTTGTATTTATTATTTATGATTTAAGTGATGGAAGGAAAAAACAATATTGTCCGGTTTTTATGTAATGTTCAGACGCGAAGCAAAAAAAAACCGATTCATCAAAAGTGAAGGAAACGAAAATCCATCTGCAGAATGATATGTAAATGTACGAGAAACTGTAAAGAAATAGATGTAATTAAATGAAATATAAAATTAGTATTTTTACTCTTTTTTAAAACGCAAAGTATTACACATTAAAACAATTACAGAAATAAAGTTATTTCACAGAATATTTAATTAGTCGGTTTATTATCCATTCGACTTTGTTTTCACCTATTTCTGACCTGGGTAAACAGGTGCTTGAGTGTTTGAGTTTTTTCATCTTTTTTTCTTCTTCGTTTGTTGATATGCCCGCTATCTTGATTTTAAATTGCTTATCGAGACTGTTTGCTTTTCGGCGACGACAACAAAGTTCTCACTGCTAATCAATTCCTGAGTACCATATTTTTTTCAACATTCTTTTTATAGAATCCGTAATTAGAATGACAAGATTGTGCGATTCGTTGTTGATTTTTCAGGAAAAGTTTCAGCATAATACGACAGAAAAAAGCTCGGAAAAATATTCCGAACGAAGACACACAGAAGATGAGGCGTGTTTAATTGAAACAAAAAGAAAGTTAAGCAATGAAGAAAGCTTTATTTGCAAAATGATTGCGCTATTGACATTTTAATAAATCGCATTTATGTGGTTGTTTTCGCGCAGATTTGTGGCAATAGCACGAACGCCGCTGTGGGTGCTGACGTTTTTTTTCACATCTATTTTGCTGGTTGTTTTGAGCAGCAGCAGCAAGTTTCCTTGTTGCCCGATTTGCAGCAGCAGTTTTCACATTTACACTCGGCACCGCACTTTTCTGTGGCACATTTGCAACCTAAGACAACAAACGATTATTGAATGTCATTTTATTGTCCCTTGAAGAAAAAATGGAACAAAAACCCCTTTAAAACATCACTGTCCAATTACCTTTGCAACAATCACAAGGCATGTTGATCCAGAAAAAAGTGTATTTCTTTGTCGACAGATACTGGGTATTCTCGAGAATAGGTTGAAACGGAGAGCGATTACTTGTTTCGAGTAGTGATTCGGTTAAAAGTCAATACTTGTCTGACCTCTTGTGTACCACATCATAAGAATATATAGTGCCGGACTGCGCAAGCAGAAAATGATTGGATGGAGAAATACGGTCTATTGATGTGATGCAGTGTGTGTTTGGTTAACTCCCAAATATTTTCGCGTTCCGTCATGCCAATTTTCACACACAAATGGATAAGTGTTATGATGCACACCATCGCGTGCGCTTACTCATTCCCATTGAGCCAATGAATTGGATGGCATGAACTCCGTCTCAATTCGATACACGCACCAACAAAACAACTGAATACAATGCAATTCACATTCATTCGCGAATATCATGATGAAAATTTGTATACTAGAACCCTCTTATCAACCTCATGGTATAATTGAGGTTTATTGCTTGAATAACAAAATCGATAAAGAATTTCAAGTGGAATAGAATGCGCGTGATCTTCTAGAAAAGGCTCAAGAGAATATTCCAATGGAGAGACGACATTGCATTCACAATGCGTAATTTCTTGAATGGAATTTCACACAGCTTATGAACATCAACTTCAGTCAATGAATTCTCGATTTGATAAGAATAGAAGGGGAAAAGTCGTATGGAAAAAAGAACAACGTAATTCGGGTCACTTATTTAGAAAAAATGTTTAATTTATTTTCGTTTTTTTTTCTTCTTTTTTTTACGTTTTAACAATGATATGCCAACTAAATTGTTATTATTAATTTAACGACATATTAGAGAGTGTTTTAAACAACAAAGTGCTCTTTTTCTTATACCTTCACCGAAAAGTTAAGAAGTTTGTTTTGATTGATTTCAAGTTAAAAGTCATCATTTACAGTGCGGTTGATCATAACTTCTAATGGATATAATTGTTTCGATTTGATTATGTAACACCCCATTCATGAGCAATGGACATGACCCATTCAATTATGGTTCATGCAAAAATGTTGGTCATAAATTGCATCCAATCGTACTGTAAACAAATGGCTTTACGTATAATTACAAGAACTTTCTAATCGAGGAGATCGAGCCGTCAGTGGAAGTGTTGAATTTAATGGAGAAAAAACTTTATTTCAAATTACTGTTCATTTCGCTAGGCTATGTCTTTTGCAATTGCATTTATTTTTATTCTCCCAATTAAATGATTCAATACGAATTTCTCGAAACCTTTTATGACTTGACTGATGCTTGGCTTACAGTGCATCAATGCATCGTAAAATACATTTCATATAGATTATTTCATTGAGCTCAAAGTGGTTTTGAGCTTCGATGGGACCGAAAATCGTGATACCAAAAACAATATATTGTTAATTTGTATAATAGAAAATAAATCGAACTGGATGTATATGTAACTATGTTCGATTAAAATAAAATTGAGACTATTTTTTTCTTCTTTTTTTTTGTTCAATTTCGAAAAAAGCACCACCATATTATTTGGATTCTGAAATTCGCATACTATGTTTTGTTCTTAGTCGAGAAAAGATTGAATTTATTGTTAAAATTTGGACAGCCACAAATGAATCTCCATTCGACGGGGTAGCGGTTTTTAAAATTTACATCCAAGGAGCACTGACTTATTAAAAAAAAACTTGCAGGAAATCCAATTGGGTCACGTCTTTTCGTTTCAATGTTCAATGGTTGTTGAACGTATGTACCATCTAGTGGAAAACATATTTGCGAATTGGATTCCCTGCAACGTTTGGTTGACGCCGCCGCAATGATGGGCAGCTACCAAGAAAAAAAAACTCATCTAAAATTAGTACATATAATTGAAGACATTTACGTAGACGTTGATGTTTCATTTCACAAAATGATTACAAATTGACAAAATCTTCATCGATGCTGTCGCACAAATCGAATTTCCACGGAAATTTCCATTTTATTCTGTTCTAAAATCGGAAGCATGTTTTTTGCTTTTGTAATTTATATTACTTAAGAAAATAATGTTATTCTCGCAGATCTACCATTTCTTTTTCTCTCTCTTGATTATTATTTGTGTTTTCTTCTTATTGTGTTTTTTTTTGCTTCTGAATTTACTTGGACTTAAAATTATTGATTTGTTTTTAGGCACAGACTTTAACAAAAATGTGTTTCTTGTTGTTTTTTTCTTCTTCTTCTTGTTCTTATTTTCATTCCATCCTTTAGAGAGACACCAGCGCAATCAACGTAATCAATGATTGGGCCTTACAATGACACGTTTGAACTGTTATTATTGTTTATATTTCGGTTGTATGCTTGTGCTCTGTATTTACATTTATTGAGAATAGCTGAAATTGGATTGGCGCAATCTCATGATCGTTTGCGCACTTTGCCATTTTGTTGCGCCGTCTTTTTCGATGAATATGACGTTGGGCCCAACGCATTCTCAGCCACTTGTATTGACACTTGTTGAATTCCCTTTTCCATGCATCCCTTGTAAATTGGCTTGAGGAACTGAAATCCAAATGGGATACGATCATTTTAAATTTAACTCTCATTGAATGATGATATGATTAACAAACACTTACGCTTTCCCATGTCATATCGGCTAGATCGTCGATTGATCCACCAATATCTCTCAAGTTCCCGCTGTACCTATTTTCGTAGAAAGAGAAACGCATGAGCATTAGAACAATCAACAAAATGATGAATGTATCAAACAGGTGTGAATGAGAAAATAGAAGAAGAAATAAACGACAACAACAACAACAGCATCGTTCACATACCGAATATAAGCCCATAGTGTAAGTGTAAGCAGTGCAATGCCCATGAGCAAATTACTAAAGTTGGCAAATGTGTAAATACCAAATAGGCCAAATACACCGCTGAGTATGTAAAAAAAGATGGCGATTGTTAAATAAACGGCCGGGGTTCGTGCTGCCTTAAATATATTTTTGCTTTCATTTTGTGCCTTATAACTGATGTACTGCTCCTCCAAGTCCTTTTCCAATTGATCCAAATATTGTTGACAAAATTCTTCGCCACCCAATTTCCGCTTTGAAGTAAACTGAATGCGACGAAAAGAGAGCAAACAGAAAGATGTGAACAATGCGTTTAGCATAACTTTCAAATATGACGTAAGGCAATGCTGCGAGAAACTCACTTGAAATATTGCTTTATCCCTTATACGTAAGTGTTCAGCTTCGAGGTGGCCTTCGCTTAGGTATGGTTGTGAACCGCCGCAAATATCTTCCATCAACTGGGTGTACACGGATTTTGCATTTGCAACGGCGGCAAGATTATTGGCTTCAGCGGTGGCCTACAGAATACAAACGAAATGAGTTTTAGTTCCAATTTTATCCACTTCAAACTGAATTGCTCCCCGTGAAACTCACCAGAAGAACACTCTTCGGGTGCGGCAATTCGTTTCCCTTATAGATTGCCATATACGCTTTGAAATATTGAATTAAATCACCGGCGCAGACTCTTTGCCCGTTAATTTGTTTGACAATAAGATTTTCGGGGGCGAGCAACATTGGAACCAGTGTTTTGAGACTAGTTTTAAATTCCGGTGTAATGTCACTCAATCGACCGTCAAACGTTGGATTGCTGGCAACTACGAGTCCTGGATGTGGCATCAAATAGCATGCAATTTCTGAGAAGCAAGATGTGATTTGTTTTCGCAGTGTTTGCAGTTCAGGTGCTTGTTTTGATGAAACCTCAAGGCGTCGTGTCAGCACACGTTGACCACCAACCGATCCATATTCCGCTTCATATGGAAAACTCCAATCTCGCACAATGAATTGCAATCGTTGGAACGGCGTTTTACCATTTTCTTCCAGGGCCAATCGTCCGTATTCGGTGAACAAATTCAAATGTTGTAAATCATCCTCTTGGATGTTATGGAATAGATTATAGCATTGAACGGACGATACCATGGTGCTCAATGCGAAAATCGTTGCACAATCGCGTACAGTGCTTTCGCTATCGAATGTACCCTGTGTGTCCAACAGGATGATTGCAATTTTATCACCATTTTTATAGTCCCATGTGAAGATATCGGACCACATCAATATACCGGTCGTATCACGTTCGGAACCGCCTCGCCATGAAAATCCATGCAACGGTTCATTTTCCTTTCCGATCCAGTCGGTGACATCCTTTTTCTCGTACTAATCAACCGAAGAAAAATCAACAAATAAATTCAAAATCGTTAGATTGAAACCGAATTCTGGTGAAAAATGCATCGAATATGTGTATGTAATAATTTACCCGAGCGTACAAATATCGCAGGAAGAAATCAAGTAAAAAACTCTTTCCCTTGCGAAATGCTCCGGCTACCGAAACGACGACAACAAATCTGTCTTTGATATGATCTTGCAACAGAACCTCTGCCAGGGTATCTTCATCCAACACAAATGTGTGATCATCTTCCGTTGTGACGATTTGAATGGGTCGCGCCTCTTTGGCCTCATCCATTTCATTAGTATCGTTAACTATTTCCATTCGATCTGAAACGAAATTAAATTAAACCGAAACAAATTAAAACAGATTCAGGCAACACTGGTGCAATTGCATTCGAAACAGTTGTTTGATATGGATGTTTTTAGAAAATTCTCTCTACTTTTAGTCGATCGACGCTTTTGAAAATATTGCAACTAATGAACTACACTTGATATGTGTGTTTTTTCATTCCTGTCTTGGTTGTGTTCCTAACCATCGATGTTCATCACCATTATAATGACCAGAGAACAAGTGAGAGAAATGTTATGCTGTTTATTGGGCCCAAAAGAGGGAGAAACGAAATTGCATTTAGACCGGTACGCAGTAAAAATAGCCGCTACTGATCACTTAGCAAAGCGTACATATTTTGTGCAGAGCACACATGCGCGCATCGAGCGATGATGCTTTTTCGGTGTGGATGCGCGCTATTGATTTTGCCAGCACCTGTTTTCGAATATTCATTTTCCCATGACAATCGCTCGCTTAGCCTGCGCATTCAGCCAGCCAAAAAAAAAAACGCACAACAACAACAACTCGTGGGCATACACACACACATCCTATGTAATGTAGATTTTCTCATTTTTTGTCGGTTTTTTTTTCTGCTTTAAATCTTGTACGATTTTGACATTTAGAATGTTTTCGCATAAAAACCAAGTACTTGTCGACGAAAATTGACTAAAACCTTCTGTTCGGTCCTTTGTTTTAGACACAAAGAGTGTGGCAAACAATTATTTCATATGAATATATATGTGAAACAAAAAAAAATCAAAGAGAAATGAGGTGCTTGTACTTATAAGAAAACACTCATTCGTGCTCGATGTCGAAAACACACAGTTTAATTGTGAATAAATATTTATGAGTGAAGTCAATTTCAATTGCTAATTGGCACGATCAGTATATATATTGCATGTAACAGACAATCAATTGAGTTATATTTTGCTTTGTTGAAAGAAAAGCTAGGAAAAAATAATGAAAAGAAACAAAGAACCGCAGGCATTGAGTAGTGACCAGAGGAAGAATCTAAACCAATCGAAAATGAATTGAAATTCATTTGCTGTTCGCACAAAAGGTGAAAGAATTACTAACAATTAAATTATTGATTGAGTTAGAGCGGATTCGTTTCACTCTTAGCCGATAAAGCGAATTGATTTAAATGGACGATGTCATCAATTGCCTGAGTAGACTGGTACAAAAGGAAAGAAGGCAACAAAAAAACTGAACTTATTCAATTAAGGTTTCTGCAAATGATACCAAAATAAACATAGCGAGAGAGAGGGATTGAGGGAAAAAAACAACAAAAACAACAAATTGTTGATGACTTTGCAGTCACCAAATGACATCTGTACAAAAAATGTTCATAACGGCACTTAATCGCGGACAACGTGTCAATTTTTGGGTTCCAATATTCCAAAATTGTTTATTTCAAATTAATTCTTCGGCTGGCGTTTGGCAATATTACGTATTCAACAATATCTGCTAATACTTTGTTGTCGCCTTCTTTCTATTTGCAATGTAGAATGATTATTTCGAATGTGTTTGTGTGTTTTTTTTGCGTACAATTTTTAACCTTAAAAAAAAAATTCAAATTCTTTCACTTAATTCGGGCAGCCACAATACATAACAAACAAGTCAAATCAAATTGATTGGTCAATGTCGAAAATAATATTCTTACCAATGTTCATTTTTCTTTCTGATAATACTGATATGTGTTCACATACAACAAATTGAGAGAGAAGGAAAAAATGATTTCGATTACGATGATGGTTATTATTGTTGTTATTATTATTCGAGTGTTTATATATATATACGTATAGAATTTGACCCAGTCTACGTCTATGGATGCACTACGAGACGAAGAAGATTTTGATTGCGGAGCAATTCCACTGTTTCAGGTAGACTCAACGTTTCAAATGTATTTTTGTGACATGACACCACTAACATTAGCGAATAAAAAACGAAGGAAAAATAAAGTGAAGCGGATAAAGCAACAAAATATTTAAAAATAATTTAACACACGAGAGAAATATGAATAACGAGAAACCACGAATTGATGAAACGCGAATTTTGTTATACTGTGAGAGCCAAAGTGGAGGCAGAGACATACAAAAAAGAAACAGAGATGTGGCGAAACGGTGTGTATTGAATGCTATACAAAGTCTGTCTTCTCTCTATCGTTGTATATATAAACACATACAAAATGACAAAATAACGAAACGTCATTGTTAGACAAGTACAACAGTGCACACGGCCACACGCACTCGCACATTCGCCACGCAATCATGTGTGTGAGTGTGACAGAGAGAAATGAATAAGTGTATTCATTTTCAGCGATGAACCACGCATCCACAATTATGGTGTGCATGTATGAATGCAAGAGATGCAAAACATAGGCACCAAATTTCAATGGATCAATGCCAACAAAATTACCAATGATTAAATACCAACAATTTGCCCGAAATTCACGTGGTTTTTACATGGAAACTAACAACGAAACACTCTTCCATCCATTTGCCTATCAGCAACCGATTTCTGATTTCCGTAGTATCATTTGACACTTTGAACGTGTGTGTCTTCTTTATTTACATATCACCAAAAAAAAAATCGACCTGAACTGAAGACAACGACGATGCGAGAAGAGAACGAACAAAAAAAAACAACAAAAACTCATACGTAAACACATATACATTTAAACTCGTCCAGATTACAGCTGTCAAGTATTTACCAAAGTGTCTACTGCCTTGTTCTCTCGCGAAATTATAATAAAAATTTTTTTGCGACGAATATAAAAAAAATCGCTGATTTCACATCACTTTTTTTTCACGAATTTTCATGTATAAATTGATTCATCATCATTTTTCAACCTATAAACTTTCTATTCGTCATACTACATCGACACATTCGATCGACTATTATTGTGACTTCTATCTAGGTAAATAAATACGAGGAAAAAAAAATATACACTTTTAATAGTTACCCAAATGTCGTTTCCATTCAGCCATCTTTGACAAACTAATCACGATTCAACAGACTACGAACGAACGAAAGCGCGAAACAGCGTCATCATCGACTGAGTGTACAATACTTACACGTCAAATAAGAATGGCTCTATATGACACAATCACGGATCTAATATTGCATTGATGCCAATTCACAATTCATACCTGTCGAGCTATTAAAATGTTTCGGTTATTTTCTATGCTTTTTTCCTCACTCACTCCGTTAATTTAAACAAAGTTAGTTTTTTCTTCTTCTGTGAATAAAAGAGAGAGATTTTGGCATGAATAAAATGTTATGACGAACGAAAATATAATTTTTTTTACACAAACTGTCAGAAGAATCGAATATCAACGAGCTACAATCATTGGTTTGTATATCGGCTACGAATGTAAAGTACGCATTAGTACTCTAGTACTAAGACTACTTAACATTTTCGGTACATTCAGTTGGCCTTATAAGTGTTATTTGTTGTCAATCATTTCATTTCAAAGCTCTTCGAAGTGTTAGAAAGAATTCTCATATCAGCGTAGATTTTATAAAAAAATAATAGGGCTCGAATAAATTCACTGGTAAGTTTGACTAAATTGTTGCTTCTTTCTCTACTTTTGATCGATCGACGCTTTGCAAGTAATAAATTGCAATTGCTGTTTGTGTGTGTTTTTTCATTCCGGTCTTGGTTGTGTTCCTAACCTATATTCATAACCGTAATAATGACCAGAGAAGAAGTGAGAGAAATGTATGCGGAAAAATTGCGGTTTATTGGGCGCAAAAGAGGGAGAAACGAAATTGCATTTAGACCGGTACAGCCAGTCAAAAACAAAACACACAACAACAACAACAACATGCTATGTAATGTAGATTTTCTCATTTTTCGTCGGTTTTTTTCTGCTTTAAATCTCGTACGATTTTGACATTTGGAATGTTTTCGCCGAACTTATTCAATTAAGGTTTTTGCAAATGATACCAATGATACCATTGTTGATGACTTTTGCGTACAATTCATAACTTTAAAAAAATTCAAATTCTCTGTAATTATTATTTTTTGTTTTTTTTTCCAGCCAGCAAGGCTTGCGAAAAATGGATGAAGAACCACCTCAACTGCATCACTGATACCGAATCACAGTATTTCATCAATACTGAATCGTTCTGTCACCGCAACACTTGCTTTGCCAATCCATCCGAACCCTGTCTTGTATCAGACTGCCGCTGGTGCAAGTAAAAAGACCGAAGCTAAAAAGAAGGACAAAATCATTGAGGTTAGGAATGATCTGATTGAGACGTTTCGTTTTTCTTATAATCACATACTCATTTTGCTCAATAAACACCGCATTATTTCAGGATGAAACGTTCGGTTTGAAAAATAAGAAAGGTGCAAAAACACAAAAGTTCGTCCAACAAGTAGGAAAGCAAGTGAAAAGTGGTGAGCAGCATCCACTGCTCCCAACCAGTAAAAAAGATGAGATGGAGAAGAAATTGCAAGAGCAAAAGGAAATGAACGCCTTGTTTAGGTGAACAATTGTGATTTCATTCGAATTGGTGGGCAATCACTTATTGCCCCAAAAAATCACGAATGACAGTTTCTGCGTCGAATCTGATGTTGATGCTGTCGTCAGAATCAGCGTCAGCCATCGTTTCATTCGTGCCGATTTGGTCGCTGCAGTAATTCAAGCGTAAAGTGATCTATTCAATATTTTAGTCTTTACAGACCGGTTCAAACACAAAATGTCAAAAAAGGTACTGATCCAAAGTCAGTGGTGTGTACCTTTTTCAAAGATGCTAATTGTGGAAAGGGTGGAAAATGTAAATACTCGCATGACTTGAGCGTGGAACGTAATTGGGTATGGCAATTTATTTCAAAATTTATTTGACATTGATCGAAATAATATGGAAAACAAAATGTCTTTTTTTGAAGGGTGGTGATAGTAGTGATTTCGGTGATTCGGCGATGACAGATCAAAACGCAAAAGATCAGTCAAAGCGGCCCAAGCTAAACTTTCCTCCGTCCAGTGAATTTTCGGGCAATCAAGGCTATGCATCAACCCATGAAAATTCAACGCCCAACGACATTCTTGCCCCCCACACAAACTATCAAAAGTTCGATATTGAATGCAATAATGCAGCGTCCAGCTCTTGCACAAATAATTTATCAAACCAAACGAATACGTATCAGTATACACAGCCACAGTCGTACAATCATCAACCGCAACAGCAACAGCCTCAAAGTGCATTTGATCCGATCGATTCGACCAATTATTTCCAAGCGCCAGTGTCGTTACCCAGCTACAAATCATCACATTCCAATGAAATTATGTCAAAAAATCACAGAGCGAGTTCACGGCAATCATTTTTGCATCCTTTTAAGAACCACCATCACCAAATTGAATAATTCCATAACGTCACCAAGCAGTGCAGCACCGGATATTTCATTACATTTACCAATGGGCTCAATAAATCGAAATCCACCAACATGCTCAAAACCATTCACTAGCCATCTCATACGAATATAAATAATTTGCCATTGAATCAAGCTTGGAACGAATGTACACATATTTGTTAGGAAATCAATTTAAATCTAAATAGATTCATCAATTAAATAATTTATCACGGAAAAAATTGTGCGTTTTGAATTTGTGTTCGAAAATTTGCTCGTTCAATTTCGCCGCAGCAGAAAAATTGGAATTCGTGTTTGTTATGTTCAATGTGAGAGATTTTTTTTAAACCTAATCTGGCGCTGTTTCTCATTGTAGATTTGCAAGTACTTTTTGTATGCTGTAGAAAAATCGAAATACGGATGGTTCTGGGAATGTCCAAACCAGCCTTTCTGATCATGAAAATAGTAAACAATACAGCGGCACCTGGGGACTAAGTGCAACGTGTCATACTTGCAACGTTTGAATTACACAGACGCATACTTGTTACAGCAAACTATGTGCATGATTCTCTATTTCTCCAACCAGTCGCCAGGTGCCACTTTATTGTTCTTGTTTGACGTTTCCTATCTATTTGTACAGACGATCAGAGAGGCTGGTCCAAACGGTGAAAAATGTATCTATCGTCATGGACTGCCACATAGTGTTGGCCGTCGAACACTTTCGAACGTTTGTTCGTTCGTTCGACATGGTTTTAAAAAAAAATGTTGTTCGTTCGTTCGTTCGACATTCATTTTGTTCGATGTTCGGTCCGAACAAAAAAATTTTACATTAGAAAATTCGATGTATTGATCAAATTTAAAATGTAATCGTTACAGCTCATGCTTTTATTAGCTTTTATTATAATTTTTCATAGTAATACCAATTTTATTTGAGAGATTTTGAAATAAAAAAAACTTTGTTCGGACCGAACATCGAACAAAATGAATGTCGAACGAACGAACGAACGAACGAACAAAAAAAATACTTTTTCAAATTGTCGAACGAACGAACGAACAAAAAATATTTTTTTTAAATTGTCGAACGAACGTTCGAAGCCATCACTACCACAACAAAAGAAACCAGACATTTCGCTCGTCGATCCAATTTCGTATGACATTTTATTTCAACATATTTTGACGTTGATCGGAATCGTTCAGAAAATTGAATCTTTTTTCGAATTAATTGCAGACAAAAGTCACATTGGAATAATTTTTGGCGTGGAAAAAGCGAAAAATCCAAGAAAAGAAAGATTTACAAGCTAAGGAAGAAGAACAGAAACGAAAAGACTACAAATCTGGCAAACAATTCGGTTTCTCCGGTCGTGAAATGTTCAGCTTCAAAACTCCAATCAATAAAATCGATATCATTTTATCAAATGTTAAACTCTAGCAATTTCAATGGAGTATTTAGTTTTATTCGGATTATTTGATTGCGATTTAGTTTAAAATTTTCAACTGTTTTAAATCGGTTTTAAATGATATTTTGTTGTACTGAATACATGCACATATGACTCCCACGCAAGCGCCATCTCTGGTTATGAGTACAAACTGTGTTTACCATGGTAATGATGTTTTGCAAACAAAAACAGGTTAAATTCAAATAATTAGGATTGTAAAATTCAAAAATAAATAAATAACCATATTAGAATTGAAATAATGGTAGATTTTTTATACATTTCTTTAGAAAATGAACACCTATAAGTAATATACATTCATTCTCCACACGTTAACGCTATATTCTCCATGCTATCTCTTCCATCACTTACATTCTTCACGCCGTTTGACACTTGTGTGTTGACATTCAGTTGATGTTTGTGAGTTGAGACGGCACTGATTTTGAATTAGCATATCATTTCTGAAGCGAAAACCGTCGTGACAAATACATCATTCAGTTAATGAAATAAAACATTGAGAAAGTGCAAACTGAGTTTAAGTTATTTTTGATTCTGAACTATTTTTCAAGAGAATCAATTCATTAGTTGCATATTCGAATAATTGATTTATTCAATTCAGTGTTCTTGTTATTTTTGCTATTCTTCCGGATAGTAAGTAATATTGCTTGAAACATGTCTAAAAATGTATATTAATTTTCCATGTTTTCTTCTTTGCAGTTGTTTGTGGTTCTATTTGAAATGGCTGATGCAAAATATGATTTGAAAAGAAAGTGCATGGAAACTGAAGATAGTCAACCCAAGAAAAGACGAACAGATGAGACCACTGGTTTAAATAATGGAACAAAAATCACTGATGTCAATCAATTTTGTTTGGAACAAATCTTCATTCATTTGTCTTTGGAAGACCTGCTTAATGTTGCCGACTCTAATGCATACCTCAAATTGGGTACTGGTATGCCATTCGTTTGGAATTATGCTGGAAAATCAGTCTTAATTGATCAGACAGGACTAATCTACTATACAAAAACGAAAATAATTACGAAAACAAATGGAAGTGCGCCAAATCCTCTATTTTGCGATAAAGATATAACGATCGTCGATTTGAAAACAATCTTTCAAATGATACGATGCTTTGGTGGAATGATAACTGAGCTGGAATTTCGTTACTATAAACGTTCGAAAAATAATCAATTCACAAATTATCACCGTATTATGAGCTACATATACGAGTTTTGCACTGAATCTTTGAAAAAGGCTTCGTTTGACGAAGCGTTAGGATTTGAGGGCTTCAAGATACCATTTAAAAATATTGAAGACCTAACGATCAAACATTTATTCGGACTGAAAGAAAAGTGTTTGAGTAGAGTTTTCCCAAATGTGAATCGCTTGAATTTAGGATTTTGTATTGATGATACTTTTTCATTTCTGTCGGAGTATTTTACAAATTTACAACATTTGGAATTCAATTGGAATGTCCCACTTTCTGATAGTGTTACTGATATTTTGCGATTAAATTCAAATTTACGCAGTTTTAAGATTGGCATGGACGATTTTGATGTGTTCAAAAGAATTAGTGAACGCTATCTACAATCCATTGAAAGTCTTGATGTTGAATGGATAGGGGTACAAAAAGCATCTGACAGTTCGATATATTTGCCAAATGTTAAAAAATTCAAATATTGTTATTATGAAAGGGATGTACCCGCATCAAAAATTCCCTTTTCATTCAATCATTTGGAAGAGTTCGAAATCAAGTATGTTTCAACTGTTGAAATCTTTCTAACCTTTATCAATGAAAATCGAACGATTGAAAAATTAACGTTCGATAGGTATGCTGTATTGTCCATGATAGGAACGGGTCAATTGCAGAATATGTTACCATATTTAAAAGACATTATCTACTTTAGATCGATTAGTGACAATATAGACGAATTACCGCTCCTATTGTCGCATATGGAATTTTTGAGAAGTTTTGCTTTTTTTGCTGGCCGTACTCTTGATGAACAAATTAGAGCAGCTTGCGATGGCAAATGGCGAATGAATCGCAACAATAATATCGTCACATTGGAACGCACTGAAGCGATGGTTTGAATTCTCCATTTCTTACATTCGTTCCATTTTTATCCCGACACCAACCTGAAACATATTCGCACACACATTTACAGTTTAATATACCTACATCCAAACCACAAAATCCTGTCAGCGGTCTTCTGCTGTTTTTCGCGTATTTCACGTAACTGATAAAATATATGAGATTTTCGACTTCAGCAAAATTGTAGGGCAGATCAAGTATTACAACTTTGCTCAACACATCAATTCGTTACCTCTTATCAGTTGCGCAAAAAACCGCGAAAAACGCGAATTTTCTCTTCTGATAAGAGATAAGGAGATGAAGAGGAAAAAATTGTAGTATTTGACCTGCTCTACAACTTTGCCGAAGACAGATATCACTTATCTTTTATCAGTCTCGTGAAAAATGAGATGGCATGAATACCTTATTCCCATACAAATATAAAGGGGATCTTCCGTTCGAAGGTGTAACTTTCTAATACTTATTTTTCATCCTTTTCAAGGACCTTTTCGTAATTATCCTGTGGCTAGATCAATAGAAAATAAAATTTTAGGAAGCACAAGTCGCTAGCTCAAGTAGAAATATGTTAAATTAATGATCAAAAACGAAAAAGGTCTGGCCAGACCCAGGTATCCGACGAAGGGTTAAAAAAATCAGAAAGCATAGAAGCAAGCTAACAGTGAAGATATACAAATATGAATAAAATAAATCGATTTGTCATTGGATACATATGTTATATATTATGTGACAGTTGCTTAGATCACATGTTTTTCAAATGAACCATACTTTCAAAAATTTGTAGATAAAATGTAGAATTCGAATCAATTGTCTGTTTTCAAATGCTCACAAATCTATGGGTGAGATTGAGAGTGGAGTATGTTTTTTCTTCGATTTATATTTTTGAAAAGGCGAGTATGTTTTCTGATGATTCTGTTGGCGTTAAAGTAGAGTATGTTGTAGTACCGTCTAGCCTCCACAGTCTTCATGGTTTTCGCGCAACTGATAAAAGATAACAACATTGTGTCTTCGGTAAAGTTGTAGTACTCGAGGTCTTCTATAACTAAACTGAAGACAGTTACCTCTTATCTCTTATCAGTTGCGCGCAAATCGCGCACGTAAAAAAGCAAATTTTATATAGAACTTTTTTTTTCTTATCATTTTTCGCGATTTTCGCGGAACTGATAAGAGATAATAGATAACTAACTTCAGCGATGTTATAAAAGACCTCGTGTGCTACAACTTTGCCGAAGACACCAAGTTGTTATCTCTTATCAGTTCCGCGGAAACCGTGAAAAACCGCGAGGACCCGCTAAAAACGAACATACTCGCTTTTAACCATTTTTAAGTCGACAGAAACTTGCTCTTCTCTTTCGTAACAAAGTCAATGAAACATACATTACTCTCAATCTCACCCATAGAAATATGTGACATGTTTACAAATATGTATTTGTATGAATATTTGAGAATGGCATGTATTTACGACAGAGGGCGCCAGTAGTTGGAAACAGAGTCGCAAATATGACGATATTTTGTGAATATTCATGGTTGATACAAAAATATGTAATTATTGTTTGAATAAAATTTGCAAATATACATATTTGTATAGATCTATAAAAAGCTTTACTTTGTTTTCGGAAGCAAAAATGTTGTCAAATGCAGTATGCACTTGTTTGAAGGAAAATCTTCAATGTATGATGAAATTTATAGGTATTCTTGCGAGCTGATTCATCTGGAGTACAATTCAATCAAACGTTAAGTTTCATCCTTTATTCATACAATCCAATTGTCTATGAGTTTTTGTTTGAAAAAAAAAAAAACGGCGGGAAATATTTTGAATTTTTTTTTCGTCTATGGAGAAATTAGTGACATTTAACGCACAACAATCTACGCACCCCATACACGTGCACATGCACACAAAATTAAAGTACACACTTCAATTCGCATTGCAGGATAAACGAAGGGAAAGGATATTTGTGTATTGGGATATGTTCTTTGTTTTGGATTTGAGTTGCATACACATGTCAATAAACAAAAACACATAAAAGCGGCTGTCGTTTACATTTTCAGGGCGCACAGCTGCATCAGCATCATTTCGTACAACAGCTGCATTTATAGTTTGACCATTGGTAAGTAAAATTGCATTTTGATTCAAATCTCGATCAAATTACTAAATAACTTTTGTTTATCACAATAAAACCAAAAACGTTTGGCAATTTAGTTTCAAAATTCAAGTGAAAATTGTTTAATAATCAAAAAAGCTTTTTATTTCATTCCCGAGAATTAAAATGGTTTCCATTCTTGCAAAATATGAATAGAACAAATTCGGGCCAATAGTTTTTTTTTCGAAACAAAAGTGTACTGAAAAAAAGTAACAGTTAATTCAATTTCATTATATGTTTTAAAAGTGTTAAACTGAATAAAAATGCCTGAAGAATAATCAATTGGTAACAAGTCAAAGTAAACATTTTTAAATTAAATGACAAGATATTTGAATCTATTGTTAATACATCGGTTAAAAAAAAAACTAATAGTACCGGGAACCGAGGATAGAGTACATGAGTTGAATATACATAGCATTTTTCCCAGCAGAAAGAAATGCCAAAAACTTTGATATTGATAAACATCAGTTTGACCCAAATAATCGCATTTAGAATATAAATTCAGGAAAACTTTCTGGCTTCAAAATAATCATTCACCAAATTTATTTTGCTCTTTACTTTGTTTTTCCACAGTCAAGAGCAACGTGTGTAATTAGTCGAAATGTGTTCAGCACGCAGTTTTGTGTATATGCTGCTATCGACTTGCTCAATTGATTATGCACTCGGTTGTTATCGTATCACACAAAATAATCCGGAACTCCTTCGTTACGTTGAATTTGATCGAGTAGCTACGAATGTCAACATCACAAGCGGTTCCAACATAATCGATTGCCGTAAGTACTCAAACCCTCCCTCCCACTGCCTATTTGTCTGTATAATCACATTTTGCCTAATCATTTCGAGTAAAAACAATGTTTGTCTTACTCCGCGATGTAATTTCAGTTGGATTGGAAAATCAACTCCAGAAAATACACATATCATGGACGCCATCCGAAAAATTACCCGAACATTTCAATGTTACCGTTCAATCGGATGACAAAGACTTTTTTGCCAAAAAAACGATACCCGGCGTGAGTGTTGAACAATTTAAAATCTCATTGATTTTATTTCAATTTTAAATCCGTTCCATCTAAGTGAACACGCTTGCTGATGTCGGAAGACAAAACAAAATACTCTTTGAATTTATAACATGATTGATTTAACCGAAAACAGAATCAAACCGAAGCGAGTTTTGGAGTTTTGATCACACCCACAAGAAAGTATAACATTTCAATCGAAGCCGATGCCCGTTTGACAACCACCGCCACTTTTATAATTGAAAAAGAGCGTCCTTGCCTTCAAATCAGTGAGTCATTGCAATTTTTCCAATTCGTTTGACATTGTTCTGAATTTATATTATTATTTATATGCTTTCCATTCGAATAGATCCATACGTGTGGATTGGAATATGTACGTTTGCCATAGTGTTGTCGTTTATTTTGACGTACAAATGCCAGACTGACTATGATGAGAGTCAGGATGAGGATAATAAAAAATCACAATATGCGAAGAATTTAACCGAAGGTAATAAATTGTCACTCAATACCGCAACCAAGAAAGACAATGCTAACAATAAGCAAACTGAATCTGCCGATGGTAAGAGCTGAGCCGAATTGATAAAAACATTTTTCAAAAACTCTTGCATTCAAATCCATTCATTCATTTTTCGTTCTTTTCTTTTCATTCGTCCAGATAAATTAAATTTGATTGCCTAAACCGTATGCAGTTGGAATATTATTTCTTTTTTTTTGCTGGCAGCCGGGGCCATTTGTATTACTTATATACATTTCCGTAAGAAAGAAGTTTTGCCGTGGAAACTCCAAAATTATGAAACAACTTTACAAAGACCTAATTCATTTTCAGCGACAGATTTAATAGCTCTTCTATTTTTTAAACTTCATTCTCATACCGAATGATACAAGTTTTGTACAAAGCTGGTGATTTCGTGTGTATTTTTTGTGTGTTCGTTCTCCCCTTTTTTATACCAAAAATGTTTAATGAATAAAAAAAAAATGAATAAAAACTACCTCAGGAAACTCTTAGAACGTTATTTTTATCATTCAAGCTACACCAATCATCATCAATTAAGCATGTGACTTCCTCACCAAATGCTTTAGTGATAACTACGTGCTTCGGAAGACGATTTCCTTTTTGCGCGTAGGAGGAACATTTTGTGTCAGTTAGTGAGTGTGTATGTTGCGATGCTATGTTTGAATAGCGCGCGCACAAGCGTCAATACATTGCTTTCAGCTTTGGGGATTTCAGTCATATAGCAAACTTTTTGGTATGTTCTTCTCGATTCACCAAACTAAATGCGATTTTAACGATTTTCACTCGGTGTGAGTGTATCAGCCAAACAGCCAGCCAGCCAGCCTGCCTGCCTGTGCACGTTGAATGAGCGGTGTTTTATGTGAAATCGCATTAGAATTCAACTATGCGGAAAAGTTCAATTTGTACTATTTCAATATAAAACGATACTTTGAATGCTTTGCCGTTCATGTTACGAATTTTTGAAGAAGCGCCACACCGATCGAAACTCAAAGCGGATGAGAGATGGGAGAAGATAGAGCGGGCGCGTGTGTGTGGCAACAGAGCAAGCCAAGAAAAATTCTCTCTCTTTCTCTCTCTCTCTGACACACATCGAATCCAATAATTAAATCCATAAAATTGTTGCTATTTGTACAGCGGGAATTGTACAACATGTAATGCGGCTGCTAAGTTTACAACTAAAATTTTCAAAGAATGAAAATAAACACATTGTTTGGTTGCACAGAATCTTAGCCATAATACTATATTATTCATAATGAATGCTTATGTAAATGGAATATATTTTCCATCCGCAAATTTCTTTTACATATGTATGTATTACATCGAAAGATAGATAGATTCGGATAAATAGATAGAGGCGAGAGTGAGAGTGAGATAGAGACGTCTTGTGTGTGTATGAGCGCGCATAACAAAATCAACCACCAAAATGGAATGAGTATATACATCCAAAAATGTACCAATTCGGAATAGCTGCTGTAATGTGTTCGTTTTATTTCAACCCTCTGAAAACGTTAAACATACGTATGATTGCCATAAATATGTAAAGAGTGTGTGTGTTCGCTCCTCTTTTTCTCTTTTTTATTGTTGGTTTTTGTTTTTTATTTTTTCTGCTCTCTTTCTCTACATGTTTTTTTTACTCCTGTTGTTTCCAACGATGGAATGGCATTTGCGTAAATCAAAAATCACTCAAAGCACACCGTTCAAGCGGATGAACTGTACAAGAGTAAAAAAAGGATGAAGCAGAAATTCTAATACACTAATGATGAATTATTTAGAAAATATAAATCAATGAACATGGCAAAAGGAGCATAAAAAAATATATAACATGGTGACATTGTGTCATAAACATATTCTCACTGCCAATATATCTTAATGCATGATGAATGGATGTGTGTATGAAGAAAATTGAGCTGTGCTATTTCCGGCTTGCCAATCTTGATCAGGAAAATGTACGCGAAAAATAAGAAAAAAAAGACGGAAAATAACAATAGCAAGTATAATAGTATGCCTGATATGGCACAGCATCGGCATGATGCTGAAAATAATGAAATGAAATCAGGCTAAGTGAAAAGGCAAAATTATTACACAAACTGTTTTATGTGAATTGGCAAATTGTGCCCAAAATAGAAAGCCATAAAACACTGGTAACGAGTAACGGGATCAATTAAATCTTCGATGATATGTAAAACACAAGCCAAATGATGAAGGGGAGGCGAATGAATGAATGTCACACCATAAGAACTACGGGTTGATGAATTTTTCATGGATGTTGTACGGTGCGTGAGTGACGACGACGACGATGATGATGCTGCTGCTTATGCTGGTGGTGGAGGACGAGCAGCAGCAGCAGCAGCAGCAGCGGTGCCGCTGGTGTTGAAGGATAGCAGTTATAATAATATTTTACATGGGCTGACTTCAATAAGCTCAACCATTTCACGTACAATGGCTTTCGATCAAACGTCAAACGTCGTTTCGCACCAATAAACTATTCTTACAATAGAGATAAATGAATCCAGCTAAAAAGTAATCAATAGAAGGAAATTAAATTTCGTTTATCCAGACTATGGTATTTATTATTATTTGAACGTTGTTACCTTTTGGTCATTTGTATTTTGACTTTGAACAACTTTCCTTAGTTCGATATGTAGAACTACACCGCTACAGCTGCTGGCCTCAAGAACATATCGGCTGAAAATGCGCCTCTTGCGAATGATTAGTATTCGCGTGCGCTATTCTATTTGGCAACTGTGTGAATAAATAATATTCGGGTTTTATTTTAATAAGCACCACACGCCCGATTTAATCATGCCATTAAATTCAGCGAGTAATTTAAAGGCGCGTTTCTTCAGGCTATTAGATTGACAATAAAAACCGTTTAGCGAACTACCTTCATCTTTTATTCAATCTCAACGGATATGCTGTCTCATTTAAGTTTTCGCACAGGTTTTTCAGAAATATATACATGTAGTTTGGTGTGTGTGTGTGTGTGTGTTGGCGCGCTTTTTTCTTCAGCTAATTTTATGGGTGTACTTACGAATTTCATAGCTAGCACCGTCGTGATAATTTACTTTATCGCTTTGGCTAAACGATATATGCCACTTTTTACTGCCCTTCACATAAAATGCCACGTCTAAAATATGATTGGATTGGTTTGGTTTGGTTTGTGTTTGTGATGGGTACATTGAATACGAGATATGCACTGTGACTCAAAATCGGTGAAATCGTATTACAAAAGCCTAGCATCAAGAAACAAGATACAAACGTGCCGACATTTTCCACTCAAAGTTCAAATACATTTATTAAATGTTTTATAATTACCATTTATCAATATAATTCATAACTCAGGTGGATACAACTGAAGAGCATACCCCCCGCACCGCAGACTCACAGTCAGCAGCCAAAAAACCGAAATATACATCTCGATTTATGGATGAAGTACTCTTTTGATGCTTTATGATGGATTTGCCTTTTGTTCATATCGTGTGGATTTATTGGGATTCATTCGTTCATTCATTCGTTTGTTCGTTCATACGTTCGTTGATTAAAGCTATAGCACTCATTCTATTCACACACGCACTCAACTGTCTGGTGCTAAACAAAAGGATCGATATTTGTTCCGAAAAAAACCATCGCGGTACATACGGAGTACAACAAATGTGTAAAATTTTCGACGTTATACAACCGTTTTCATTAGGCTTACATTTCCGAAAACACAGAACACAAAAAAAATAATCGATTTATTTTTACTACAATACTTTCTAAATATTTTTGTTTTTGTTTGATGTTGTTGTCATTGCTGAATTGTATTATGGGGTGTTTTCATGTTTATTTTCGTTTTAATTGAGTCAAATACAGAAGACGACGACGAAGACGAATAATCAAAACTTATCTGTAGCTAAATAAGGTCAATCGTATACATAAGGCGACCAAGACAAAGACTTTGAGATGGGCATCGGTTGTGATGTTTTCGGCCGACGATGAAACGTGCTTATCATCATCGATTGTGATGTTTTGTGCCGACGCTGAAGCATTCTTGAAATCATCAGGGGCATCGGCTGAGACGTTTTTGGCCGACAATGAAGCGTGCTTACAATCATAATAGAAATACATTCCGTTCAAATGGTCGTCGGTTGCAAAGTTAAAATATCGAACAGGCGCCACATTTCGATCGAGCGTCTCCAACAGCAGTAAATCGTTGCGATAAATTTGAATAACGCCACCTAAGATGAAAGAATCATGTCAATACAAACGATAATATTTGTCAACACACAACAACCGAGATATGGAATGGCTATCATGACAAGAATAAGAGAGGGAGAGAGAGAAGGAGGAGAAGGAGGAAAAGTAAAAGGAAAAAAGAAAAGAAGAAGCCGCCGTCGCCACATCAGGCTGCCTCATTATCTTAATTTTGTGCTCACTTGGTATGATTTCGATACGGAATTGAACTGGTTGACTTTCCGATAGTACGTTTGCCGTTCGTAAATCTCGAAATATTTTCCGTCCGTGTTTAACAACGGTGCGGGAGTTGTTAAATCCCCCAATCACTGAAAACGACAATTGCTGAACGTGAATATATAGCAAACATGTGCAAAAAACTACTTTTTCTGGGCGGTGAGCACGTGCACAAGACGAGCAACAGAATGAAATGTGCCAATGCCACCACACACAGAACAGAACAACAATGCAAAGAATGAAATAAAGAAACGAAAAAAAAATGGATTTTCTTTTTCACTTACGAAAATCATAGACTCCATAGTTAGTTTGATTTGGATTGACAACCGGCGATAAATGAACATGGCAATCACTGGATCCAATCACATAAAACTCCAACAACAAATCGGTTGTGTGGTTCGATGACAGCTCGATGAATTCACGATGTTCGATATTGTTTGTGTAAACGTTTTTGCAGTTTCGCAATTCTTCTATTCGGGTTCCGATCGGAAAGAGTGAGTGGGAGAAAGAGAGAATTGGAGTAAATGAAACGGAAAGAAAAATAACTGTGAATGAGGCACAAAGTCAAAATAAATATTCGCACACACAGACACACGCACAGCAATCGAAATTCGTTTCGGACATCATAATTTTATAATTGATTACTACGTACCACAAAATGGTGTATAATTATTCTCGCACGCATCACTTGTCGGCAACGGCTTAATGGCCGAAATTGAAACTATGCAGCAAAATATTTCGTTTGCTAACCAAAAACAAAACACACGCACCACCAACATACTGTTTTCTCTTCTTCTTTTTCTGTTTCAATAACCGACTCAGCAACTGTCCAACCAATAATAGTTGTAATATTATAACCAAATGTGAATATTGATTATCAATACCGTTTTCATATCGACACTGGCATTTTGTCGCCACGTTTCGTATCGAAAACTGAGCTGACGTTAACACTATACGCAACACACACAAATCGTTTAACTGCATCCGAAACACTGATAACATATTTTCATTTGAAAATCTGCTAATGCAATCGAAAGAAGTGTCATTTTATTTATCAGAGATATAATTGCCCCGGCTTGACTTATTCAACATCCTACACTCTCGCCCTTGACAGTATTTTGCTTACGAAACAGAATTTCCCTCAAAAACACATCAAATAAACAAATAAACAATATGCAAACGGTACATACAGACGGGCAAACTGAGAGAAAGATTAAAGCGAAGCATTTGATTTTGTGATTTTCGACATTTCAATGGATCTTGGCTGTAGTTTAGACGTATAGAGTCGACGTAAGAGTGTGAGAGAAAAGTTTAAGCGCCGTTTCTATGCTGCATTTGCTTAAGACGTTCTTATCTCTCATTCCACACTTGAAACCAATTTCAGTGCGTCGAAATTTTATGCCGTACATAACAGGTAGTTAAAGTGAGAAAGAGACCGAGCGCTGTAAAATATAACGCAATTACAAACCAAAGCAAGTCGAGGAGCACAAAAACAACAAACCAGTACTAAATTTTACCAACTAAATTACATTGTACAATTCGTTTGGAGATATTTTCAACCATTTGTCAAATGCGTTACAGCAGAGAATGCCGAGCAACAACATGTGTTATTTCAGAAATGGTTGTTTTAATTAACTAATCAAAATTAATGAGTTTGAGAGGCATAAAACAATTACATTTCACAAATGCCATCGAGTTGTGTTTTATTGAGAATTTCAAATGAATCAGCTTAAATGTTAAATCGTTTCGCATACATATTTTTGTTTCCATTGTCGAGTCACTGTCGGCGCACCGATTCATTCGCTCGCTCTCTCTCTCAATCGCTCATTTTTTTCGTGTTCGCTTTATATTGCTTACCATTTTACCGAGAGTCAGCTCCCCTTCCAATGTCGTTCACATCGCAATGCCAATCGTCCTGTCGTCTCACTGGGTGCACTTAAAAGTGAATCGACTTTTGATTTTGTTTAATTAAGCGAACGCATCCTCCGATTCGAGCGCGCGCGCACGCCAATTGTACGATATGCTTGTCACTTTAGCTCTGTTCCATTGCAGTTGAAGGGACACACGGAAACTTCATAAAAAGTATTTTTTATTTATTTCTTCTTCTGCAGTTCAAATGGTAAAAAAAAGAACATACATACGTCCTTTGACGATTTCTTTTGTGTCGACCAACTGCCTGTATATGTACGGCACAGAGTGGTGCGGTGTGCGGATGAAGAGATAAAAGCCATCAACTCACACACACACACACACACACACACACAGAAAGAGTTAGCGGGGAAAAAACGGGAAATAGAAAGCAAGCAGTTGAAGCTATTGTAGAAAAGTTGCATGAATATAAAACTTTTATTCCTTTGTCAAACTATTACAAATTTTCGTCTTTTGAATATTTTAACACTGAATTCAGCCCATAACGGATTTAACAGACGTGTCAATGTGGCTGCAATTGTAGAAAAATTGAGTTTCCGAGTTTTCGAACGAAGCAAAACTGATGTATTGAATAGGCAATGGGTTCTCCTCGAGAATGGCGATTATTGGCTGTGACTTCAGCTTTTCCGTATACAATCGAATGTTACCACCTAAAAAAAGAGAGAAGAGGGCGAGAAAGAAGAAAAAAAGGAAAAGTAAATAGATGAATGAGCGAGTGTGAGTGTGTATGTGTGTGAACGGTATGTATGCAATGTAAATGGATGGAAATGGGCTTTGGGAATTTGTTCAATATATTTCTTTTTTTTTTCTTCATATTATTGGTTCGATACATACTGTTTGCGATTTCCAAGAGCATTTTCGTCGGTTTCTCCTGATTGATTACATGGCTTTCGTACACTTCAGCCAACACATTGGCACCTTTTTTCTTTCTTATAAGCACCCTCTGTAATAACAAATCAATAGCACACTTTATTCCAAATGCTTACGTATACTTCGCAATGTGGGTATATGTATTGCAAAATGATGTGCATACGCGACTCTAGATACAGAATATACAATACATATGGCATGGACTTCGATGACGAGATAGAATGAATGCAATTCAAATGCAAGCGTAAGCCAACATTCGATATAATCATTCGGTTCATTCGGTTGCATTTAACCATTGAAAATGCACCGAGAACAAAGTAACAATTGAACAATCAAAATGGGAAAAAATACACTGTTTCCAAAATATTGTCAACTAGAGTCACGTTTGCTCTTAACAAGCTCTAATAATATAGAATGGTTTTGGTAACTTAACTCATTGCCCCAGCCGCCAATCACTATAAAAAGAGAGAGAGGAAAAAACATTTGATAAAATTATTAATAGAATTTTTTTTCGATTGAGAAAACGTGCCGAATTTGAGCAAACGACAAATTCTATCAAAATATTGTTATTATTTACCAAATTCATAGACAAAATCTCTTTCCCAGTTTGGATGATCGGATGTTGCGAGCAAAACGTTACCATCTCGTGCGCCTTGAATGTAGATCACGATTCGCAGAATGTAGCCATCGGGTTGCGAATTTTTGATGTCGCTTATTTTGACAAAGTGACGGTAGTCATAGTCAGAAATTGAATAGTAGCCGCATTTCGTAACGAGGACTATACACACAAACACACAAGAAACAAAACCAAACGAGAAAAAATAGAGAGAGAGAGAGAGAGAGAGAGAGAGAAAGACGAAGAAGAGGAATGAATTCGGGTTTGAATTAATTGGTTGCGGTTGGTATTTTTTTCTTTGTAGTAATTGAAAATGTGCCACATACAATTTCTCAAATCAATGGACGCAGGGACGTCCTTGGCGAGCAATGGATGGTCGGTTGTATCGTAGACGGCATCTGGTGTGGCAAAGCTAAATGAGCAATTGAAATAAAATTTCACGAGATTTGTGTTGTACGACCCAAAACTAATGTATTCAACTGGAAGCGGTTCGGGGTCGTACGCTTCGGCCATTAGTTTGAACGAATGCGTGTCTTCTTTGCGGAATATTCTTATGTCGCCTCCTGTCAAAAGTGTAACAAACAAAGAAAGAGCAAATTACATTCAATCGGATTAAAGGTGGAACGTGGAAAAAAAACCTAACAACAAAATAATGTATGGCTGAAAATCATAAGCGAATGGAATTTATCGCAGTCGTACGTGTGGTAATTTGAATCAAAAACGCAATCCATTTGTCAGGCACCAAAATATCCACCAATGAAACATCACGCAACACATTGGCGCCCTGCTTTCTACGGACGATTACACGTTGATTTCCCCATCCACCGATCACTTTAGTCGTTGTCGTCGTTGATGCCGTACACCGGAAATGATAAATATGAACAAATTAAAATAATTTCACCACTTTCCAATGTGTGTACACTGTACACTGTACACTAAATGTTGCCATGACATTTGGTTCGACGTGCAGATTTTCGCACACGAAACTGAACAAATCAAACGACACCGCCAACGATGGCAATGTCAATGGCAATGGCAACAATAATAAATCTATAAGTGAAAGAGAAAAGTCGCTGTTTATGTGAGAGTAATTGAATATTTACGTATTTCATATTCGTTGGCTTCACGATTTGCCATTGGCACTGCTGTCAAAAGAACATGAGCATCCTTTTCGGCTTGAATATAAAATGGGAAATTGATGATGTAGCCCTCCGACCGAATGCCAGTTATGTCGGTTATCTTGAAGAATTCTTTGTATTCGTTTTCCGTAGCGTCAGCATAACGACACAATTTCTTTATATCCTCATCTTGGTAAGCATTTTCACCCTCACAATCGTAGAAAAATTTGGCTGGCGAATTGTCATATGAAGCAAAACCAAAGTATTTCACTGGCAAAACGCTTTTATCTTGGGCCACAGCTAACGGCTCTTTTTGATATTCAATAAAGACTTGGATTTTCCCCTCTGTAAAAACAAAAAAGTGCGTACACACACACACACACACCAAACATTTTTATTAACGAATAATAAAGGTTCATTATAGTATTATAATGTACAGAAGAGAAGAGAAGAAGGAAATGAACAGAGAAAAAAAAACGATGTAACATCCAAATCTTGATAATCGCTATGAATTTTCGTCCTAATCAATTAGAAGGTAATGAAGCCTGTGAAGTGATAATACACCCTCACATTGCGTTGTCCACTGTGCCTTATTGGACCACCTGATTCGAAATCACTGACTTAAATTAGATTTAAAGAATTATCTCTGGCTAATGCGTTGAACATCTGTTCTGGTTTCTCGGAGCTAACGTAATAACGACAATTTGATCAAATAACGCATCATAAAAAGGCGCTCTCTTTTAACGCACAAATGAAAATATGATGGTCTTCTGCCAAATTTGTGCAAAAACAGCACTAGCCTGCCTCAGCATCAACCGTATAGTTGTAGCAGTAGCAACAACAACAGCAACAGCAGTGGCCGCATCAGCACTTACCATTTGATATTTCGATGAGCAACTTCAGTGGATCATCTTTGCGCAAAGCATTGAATGTGTATTCAACGGTCATGTCGTAGTCTTGCCGCTTTCTACGTATCAAAGTTCGGTTATTCGCCCATCCGCCGACCACTTTTGAACATTCGCCCAAAATACAAAAGAACAAAATTATTAGAGCTTCAAACACAAGCGCCTCTGTGAAGTTAAAGTCAACAGAGAAAAAAACGAAGCAGACAACACATGATTCAATGTACTAACATATTTCATACACATTGTCTCGTGTCCAGTTAGGAGATTCAGTCGGTGAAAATACAATGTGCGCATCTCTTGGCGCTAAGACATAAAATGGTAGTCGTACAAAATATCCTGAAGGCTGCAGAAAAAAAATAAATAAATCAAATTGAATCAACGAAACCAATAAACTGATTTCGAATATTTGCCATGGAATGACAACTTTTGCTTACTTGAATTCCTGGAAAATCGCTGATTTTCATCAATTTTTTATAGTCATAATTTCGCTCTTCACGTATTTTACATTTTTTGTTCAATCCTAGGTAGGAGAGGAAGAGAGAGAGAAAAAAAAATGAAGAAAAAAAACAACAACAACACATGAACTATTTGTTAATCCGGGGAATTTCGGTTGGGAAAGAACCTGTTCGTATTCGTCATTTTATTTCATTTTTCTCGTTATACTCACTACAGTATTTTTTGGCTCGTTCCCTAAACGGGCCCGATGCACCGTATGCCGATTCCGACAGTAAAAACAATACGACTAGATAATTTAAAATGCACCAGCAATTCATAATTATATTAAATTTGAATTGCCAAACGAAAAATAAAAATGTGTTTTTTTCTCTCTTTTAATACAATCGACCGAATCAAATGCAATGACTAAACTGAAGACCAAGACAAACAAAAAATGATCAGTTTGACATGACCTACGACGCAAAACTGAAAACAAACTTGAAACCCAGTGGAAACAAAATAAAAAGAGACGGACGAAAAACCAGATTCGCTATTCGGTTCGTTATATTCGATGAATAAAAGAAGACAAAAATCTAGCAACAATGAACAAGAAGAAGCAGTCTAGATATGTACACACAAACAAGAACGGGAATGAAGCAGTATTAAGAGATTTTTGTCATGTCTGTCAACAAATCAAACAGGTTGTGATGTTCCCAGTCAAAATGCTAATTTACAAAAACGTTGATCATATCGACACAAGCAAGAAGCAAACGAAATGAATACGAAACGAAGAAAAAAAAATTAGTTTTATTTATATATCGAGACGAAACGAAGCTATGACAAAAGTAGCTGTATTAGAGATAGAGTGTGAGTATGACGTGTACACACTCACTCTAAGGTCAACTGGATGATAACGAACAACCGACTCTGTTCAACAAAACACATGACTGTGTGCTGCTACTGCCAATGCCTTTTGTCGCCGCCACTGTTACTGTTGGTGTTGGTGCTGATGCTGCGGCTATTGCTTTTGCTAAAACTTCTCTCGTCTAATCAACGAATCTGACACGAAAATACCAAGAAATAGGTAATCGTTTGCATTTTGCTTGTATTATTTTCGCTCTGTCTCTCTCCCCATTCAATTAACACAAAACTAAATTGAATGATTCCTGCAAGACAGAGGGATTCAATATACTTGATTGGTGTGCGTTACTGGTATATCACATTGGGATTATGCGTCGAACGCAAGTCGTTCACAAATCGAAGTTTTGCTACTACTAATATGTATATACAAGAAGAAGCAGTTAACATATATATATATATATATATATATATATATATATATATATATATATACACCACAGGCCATAAGTTTGGATACCCCTATGAAACGTTTGATTCTACGTTTTTTGAACATTTTCACTTGAAATTTAGTATTGGATATGAAAATATATCGAAATTCTGACCGAATGGAAGTTTTGGAAGATAACATTTGGCCGGCCTATGGCCATCTTTTGGCCTTTGAGCTGTGGGAGCCAAAATCAAAGTCTTAAACGGGCCATCGGATTAAAAAGTTATATACGCCATTGGAAAGGTCTTGAAAAGTCGATGTGATTTTTGGTATTAAACATCAAAATCGGCCGGCGTTTGGCCAAAATATGGCCGTTTGTAATTTTTGGCCGAAATCTTCAATCAGCCATATCTTGGCCAAAAGCTGGTCGATTTTGATGTTTAATACCAAAAATGATACGTACTCTCCGAGACCTTTCCAACGACGTATAGCATGTTGAAATTGGACAAGCGGTTTGAAATTTTAAAATTTTGGGCCAAATTCATTCATAGGGGTATCCAAACTTATGGCCTGTGGTGTATATATATATTATATGTTTGCACAATTCGCCCAATTAGAACGATATAATATTTAAAATGGATTTAAGACAAACTTTATTCATTTCGAATTCATTAAGGCACATTTAAAGTGCTGCCAAAGAAAATCGATTTGAGTTAATTGTTAATGTTTTTTTTTTGGTTTATTTTCGTTTTGTATTTCTTCCTATTTTTCATTGTGTCATTTTAGTCGTGGATTTACCTTTGTCTTTGCTGTCATTCCGTACTAATTTATTAAGTATTCATGTCATGAGAATAAATTTATGGGATCAATCTTCAATGTGAAATAAACGTTTTGAAATGGTTTGAGCAGCTAGCAAGCGTGCTGAATGCATTATGTATGTGTGTGTGTGTGTGCTGTGCATTCAATAGACATTAACTCTTCTTTTCACATCATGTCATTTGAACTGAGTGCGTCCAGATCGATTCTATTCTTGCTTACAGCGAGACAATCTTTACGTTACACCGTATCATCTGTCGCACGAACTGCAATTTCAATTTATAATTCATTGCTTCTATTTTTCTCGTGTGTTCGTTCGTTGGAGCACATTGAGATTTTGTGAAAAATGAACATTTCCGATGTTTGATTACGTCCTCAAAGAGTTGCGCTACCGCTGCTGCTGATGCTGGTGCTGCTGCTTCGGTTTCTGATTGTAAAAACGTGCGTCTGCATACTATCTTATTTTATACGAAGCGAGTGAATTCAAGTGAAAATGACAACGAAAAAAAGAATGAGTTCTCTTGCTATTAAACACTTCAACAAAACCTCATTTGAGATATATTATGTGATGGAAATTCTACTTAGCCTTTGGGGCATATCAATTGGGGATTTCATTTACCACAGACTTGGAACGAAGCTCGCTGCCCCATTGAAACTAATTTTATACCCAGTCGTTTCGGCTCGCTCAATCAATCACTTGATCATAAAGCATTGTTTTGTTCGACAAATTTTGAGGAATATTCGAAAATTCATACATTTAATGGAATAATAACGATGCCTGCGCTCGCCGCAATTGCATGCCAATGAAACACACACATACACACACACACACACACCCGTGTACACTGTACATACACACGGTCGTCGATTGAAAAGTAATAAGAACAGCTACCAATTTGGATACTAGCTGATTTGCATATTTGTGGCCATCTGATCGGTGCATGGAATGGTTTTTGGGTTATGTGGAAATTCGATATTCATAAGTAAAAGAAAGGAATGGCCTACCCCATTTTATGATTTGGAACATTCAGAAGGAAGAAAATGCATGGATGTGTGTACGTATGCATGGATGTTTTCTGTCGAGTAGAGAGAAAAAGAGAGAGGTAGAGAAAGAGAAAATTTCCGTTAAAAAAAAACATGAACCGAAAAAAATGAACATTTAATGTTGTTAGTTTACGTCATCCGCTTGCAATGGCAGTAAAAAGTTTGTGTACAGATAAAAATTTCCATACTTTGCTGCGCACTTCACTCTGCCAATCGTGCTCTATCCACGGCATGGATGGGAAAAGTGGCTCGGCGCGTTTGTTGAGCGAGTGTAAACGATTTAAAATGATGAAACAACATCCTAATTCATGTGAACAGAATTTTAATTTGGCCAAACTGAATACACTTGATCGATTTTTATGTGAATGAAGAGACGAAGCGTATCCGCGCGCGCACTCATACACACGATAGATGAAAACACAAAAAATTATTTTATCAATTCATGATGTTGCCATAAATTTGTTCAATTTGCGTTAAGTGGCTGTAGATATGCGAGAGTGAGAGATAGAAAGCGAGTGAGCGGAAAGGCAAAAAACGACATAAAAGCAATGAGCTCAGTATAAGGATACTATACTATTGATTTATTTAGATTTTATGTATCGTCGAAAAAATCATAAATCTTGACAAATATTTTCGGTGGACTGCTTCCATAAATAGAGTAAATTTTTCGAAAAAAGAATTGAATACGTAAACAGTGCCAATAAGCGTGTTGATGCAGTTGCCCCTAACCAAAAGCCGTAGAAACAACGCACGACGAGCAGATAACTTGTAAGTCAACTACTGAAAAACTTTTCTTTGCTTCATTTTCGTACTTTGTACTTTGTCGGGAAAATTCACACCAACATAAACATTTACAAAATGAAGTGAGTCGAGAGAGAGAGCGTTTACATGGCGGAATGAAAATCTGGGCACGATTCAAGATTTTCGACTGTGTGTAATTCGGGCATTACGCTGTTTCATTTTGCTGTATAGTAACAAACATTTAAACGAGATTGTGATGTAAAGCATCAGCTTGTGATGAGCTTTACTTCTCTGTGTGTGTCTCTATGTAAAACTTAATATTGTTTTCAGCTTCTTTAAGAACTTCGACTTTTTCCCCAATTCTTATCAAGAGTTGGATTGCATATTTTTGAGTGCTATTAAAAAAGAAGAAAACGAGAAGTAGATGAAGTAAATATCTTCATTGTTGTGCCCATTCAGCACATCGTTCAGCACAAGAAAATGCCGTCATCGAATGAATGGATGCCATTGCGTGAAACACACGCACACAACAAATGTGAAAAGATTGAAAAAGTGGCACCTCAGCAACAGCAGCAGAAGCAGCATCAGTAGCACTAAAGGCAGTACCAGCACCAGCATTGTTTATTTCATCAAAATATTGATAAATTTTATCAACATTGCTTCAGTCCATTCCATACATTCTGTATGGATTACGTACGTACGGTTTAATGAATGGCGAACAGAGAAACGTCTCCAAGAGACAGAACCACTGAATTCAATAGCCTTTAGCGCAAATATTTGCAACAACACATAATCAAATGAAATAGTTGTAGTCGTATTACAATGTTTGTACACACTTGACGATGATGTAAAATGTAATACATATATCGTAGAAATTGATAACATTGGATTGATAAGATGTGCATCAGCAGCACATATAATTCCGAAATGTGTTTGTGAATGTGTGTGTGTGTGTGTTTGTGTATGTGTGTGTGTGTGTGTGTGTGGGCTTCTTCTACCTAGATGTATTTTCCTTAAATTTCAAATCATCCCCAGCTGAGTAATACACGGCGTTCACTCTTGCGTTGTATGATATCAATTTGTAGCAAATGTGCTTAAATGTTATCTATACACAACTTGCTCTCTCGGTCCATACCATTTATACAATATGCCAACTCGGAAAACAATTTTCAATAAAATTTCATTGTCTCTCTTTCGGAATAGGTGACAAGGAAAAGAGAGATTGAGGGAGGAAAAAAAAGGTATCGCACACATTGATAGCACATCGAAGTTTTAGTTAACGTTTCGTGAAAAGAAACCATAAGAAGATGCCATTGCGTTTCGTTGTGCGGTATATACATCGATAAAATCAATAAGTTTTTGTCAACACAAGCATTATGACTCGCATGAATTTTTATTAAATGTAAATTTTCCCGCATTTCTCCTTTCGCATTTCCAAAATGGAATTGATGGCATCCTATTGAAATTCGCCACCTATCCATTTTTCTAGACCTACCGCCTCCGCGTTTGTATCAACGAAGATCGAACAGTTTATTGGTTGAAGCAAAAAAAGTCTAAAATGTACTACAACTGATGCTATTTTTACCATTAATTTGCCAAGCGATTCGCTATCAAAAATCCTTATTTATCGAAATGGCATTTTCAACGATATTGAATTGGAATTTCGGCTCGAATGAAGCCAGTGACGTCGTTGGCAAATATCTTACTTTCATTTTCAAATCCACGGTTTAAACCATTTCTCTTGAAATTAAGA